TTAAAGTAGATAATATACTCCCTACTTTTAGGAAGAAGCTAAGACTTATTAACTAGTTATTAATAATAACTTACTAATATATCGCTAAGTTTAAAGGAACTATAGCTACTATAAGAACTTATATCTAAGCTATTTAGTAAAGTATATAAAAACCTTACTAGAAAGCTAGCTTTAAGGTTAAGGGATCCTCACCTTTAGGTTAGTATTACCTTATAAAAAGTACTAATAAGTTACTATATTAAAGTATATATATTAGTGTTATTACCTACTTAAAATTATATATAGATACTATACTAACTGCTCTATAAGAAGATAGTAATATACTAAAAGACTTAAGAGAAGCTAAGATTACTATACTAAAATAATATATCCTATATACTATAATAAGGGAACTTATTTAAGATGAAATAGTATATATATTATAACTAGGTATAAATCTTAAATAGATAGTTAGAGGATTATAAACTAAAGACTACTTCTATAGAGAACTTATAGCTAAGGTTTATTAAGACACTAGAGAATACTAAGAGTACTAACTTAATAAGAATAATATCTTTTAGTTTAGAAGAAGACTTATTATTTTAGAAAAGGGATCCTTCTACTATAAAATCTTAAAAAACTACTATAATATACTTAGATTAAGGTATATAGGGGTAAATAAGATAGTAAAGCTAATCTTATGAAAATTCTATTAACTATACCTAATAGAGGATATATAGTAATATATCGCTAAGTACTTATAGTATTAAGGAGTATATATACTATAGTATAAGCTATATAAACTACTATAAATACTAAAATTATTAGTATACCTATTTTAGTAGATTTCTTTAGACTTCTTAACTAGCTTACTAGAGAGTTACTAAGATAATAGGATTATATATAATATAATCCTAGTAGTTATATATTAAATAACTAAAGTAGTATAATTTCTAGTAATAACTAAGTAATTAAACGCTATAGGTTTAGTGAGGATCTTATACTAAGAGATTAAATACTAGTATAGTATACCTAAAGCTATTATTAGTAATTAAGATAAGCTAATTACTAATTAGTTCTAGTGAGATTAGACTAAAGCTTAAGATATAAAAAGGTATATCTCTACTATATAGTATCTATAAATAGATAGCTAGACTAAGAGAACGTATTAAATTCTAACTATATACCTCTTAAAGTTTAGTGAAAACTTATATAACTAATAGGTAATATAGCTAGTTAAAGCTAAATTCTCTTATAATAATAGTAGATATACTACTATTAGTATATTACTATTTAAAGCCCTTATAGGTTACTACCCTTAAATAATTAATTACTACCTACTAAGTATTAAAATTAGAACTTAAGGAGTTAATAAAAGGCTTAAGAAGTTAATAGAGGTTTACTAAAAGATAGCTAAGAATTAGTAATATATAATAGAAGTATAAGCTAAAAATATAAATACTAAAAGGAAGGCGTAATTATATAAAGTTAGAGATATTATAGGGTTTTTAATAAAGAACTTCTACTTTATAAAAAGTTAGTAAAAACTTACCTTATAATTTATTCTTATACTAATTATAGAGGTTATAAGCCTTAATACCTATAAAGTATAGCTCTTAAAAAAATATAATAAGGTATATAATATTTTCTTAGTTACTTTATTAAAGCTATAGTATAGCTAAAAGCTTACTAAAAAATAGCTTCTAAACCTAAAAGAGGACCTTAAAGAATAGGAAGTTAAGGATATTATATTATAAAGGGATATATTAGTAAGCTCCTTATATTTAGTTAAGTAGAAAAGCTAGCTAATAGAATATAATACTTAAAAGCTTAAAGAACACTTAGTAAATATTTTATAAATCTTTATAGGATTTAAAAAGTAATAGTATAAATTATACTATAAGTAGGATAATAAGTAGTATAGAGAAATAAGGAAAAGTTAATTAACTATAGAAAGACTTTAAAGAAAATTACTCTTAAAAGTAATATATAAACCTAGGGGTATCTAACTAAAAACTCTAAAGAAAAGCTATTATATACTTACTAAAGATCTACTAAAAACTACTAAGAATTATCCTCTAAGTTACTTAAATTTTTACTAATACTATTACTATTAAGACTAATATCTATATTATTCTTATTATTACTACTCTTACCTTCTAATAATTTATCCTCCTCTTTAGAGCTAATAAGATTCTTATAAATACTTATAGAGGAAGTATTAATATTTTTATAAGTATTAGGTTAGGGAGTAAGGCTAGAGCTAATATATTTAAGGATTATAACTAGGGTATACTTATGAGAATTATAAAGTATCTAAGAAACTTAGACCTTAGAGGGATCTTAAGTAAGTAAGCTAGATATATAAAGGTTATTACTTAAGAGATACTTCTTTAGGATATTATTAAGTTTATTGAGGAATTAAGCTTAGTTAAAGATATAGCTTTTATTTTAGAGGTATTAAGGTAGGGTATTTTTAAACTAAAGATAAATCTACTTAATAAGGTTTTTATCCTTCTTTTAGTAAGTATTCTATAAAGAAACTATTAGCTATTAAAGAAAAACCTAATCTAAAGGATTATATACCTTAAGCTAGATCTTAAGATATATTTAGGTGTAGTTAGTAGTAGTTTCCTTAGTATTTATTTATAGTAATTAGTTATTATACTACTTAAAGTTAGGCTAAAGCTTAGTAAGGTTTACTAATTACTTATAGAGTAATAAGAGAAATGCCTAACTATTTATAATTATAGTATATATATAGTAGATTTTATACTAATAATACTTATTAGCTTTAATCTAAGTAGTATAGTACTTTATTTAGTTTTAGAAGATTTAAGTATTATTAACTAAGTAGTTAGAAATCTAGTTATACTAATAGTTAGTTTAATACTCTAGTAAAAGGTTACTAAACACTTACTTTATAACACTTAACACTATATAAATAATATATCTAGTAAGTAGTATTACCTATATTAGTATAAATATATACTACTCTAGTAGTCTAATAGAGCTATAGAGCGTAAGAGATATAAGGCTTACTACTACCTAATTAGTTATATTAATAAGTACTACTATTCTTTATTAAGTTATTAGGCTTATATAACGTTAAAATATAAGTAATTAGGGTCTTAATACTTATAATAATTAGATATAAAAGTAGTATTAGAAGGGGAAGGCTTTATAAAGGCTTAATAAAACTTTATAAAATATAAAAGTTATTATAATATAATATAATAAAGAAGAAGAAAAAAGAAACTAACTTTAGGTAGGAAAAAGGGTACTACTTTATAGATAGATATAAAGTATTATTAAATAGTTAGGGAAGTAACTATAACTTTAGATAGTAAGAATAGTAGTTATTTACTATAATAAGTGCTACTAAAAGTGAGAAGGTAAGTATAGTAAATTAATAATAGTAGTTACTATTTAATATTCTAAATAGCCTTATAATATACCTATTTTAGAAGGGGGATAAATAGGATAAAAAAATAAAGTTATTATAAAGTTATTATTTAGAGAGGGTTTATTAAGTAAAGAATAAAATATCTATAAATAAAGAATATAAAACCTATTAAAGATAATTTCTTTCTTTAAGGAATAAAAGAAACTCCTAATAAAATCCTATTTAGTAAATAATATAACCTTAGAGGTAGGATTATAAGACCTATAAAGATAATAATAGTACTAAGGGATAAGGAAACCTCAGTAAATATATAGTAGATAACTACTATATAGATAATAGAGATAACCTATAATAATAATAGTAACTATAAAAAACTTATTATAGATAATAGAGGTTCTCACCTATTACTAGTCCTATTCTATAATAAGGATTACTATAATTAGAAGGGGGATAATTATAAAGGTCTAGCTACTTAGACTAAAAGGGCTTAGGGATAGTTTAGCTAGATTAAACTAAAAGGATAGAGAACCCTATAGAGATAGGGTATAAAACCCTCTATAGCGAGGACTTAGTAAGTACTTACTAAAGAGTTAAAAAAGAAGATCTTAAAAGAAGTAAGTAAAAGTAGCGCAGTAATACTATACTTACCTTTTAGGTACTTCTTCTATTAGTTTAACCTAACTGTAGCCTATAGCCCCTAAATACCTTTACACTATAACCTATTATATTAAAATACTAAAGTAATACTATATTTACTACCTCTATAACTACTACTTTAAGAGTAGTAATAGCTTTACTTAATTTATTAGAGAAAAAGAGGATAATATCTATAAATTTTAAAATAGATACCTTTTCCCTTAGAACTATAATAGATTTAAAGAAGTATTATTCTTCTATTACTTATTAGTATATATTATCCTCTACTAATATAGCTATTATAATCTATCTCTTTTTAAAATATTTAATAAGTTTAAAAATATTATTAAAGTATTTAAAAATAATAAAATAACTAATAACTAATACTACGAAGTAAACTAATTAAACTATTTAAAATAAGAGAGCTTATTAGTAGAACTTAAGGTAGTACTATAGCTTAATAGGGTAGTAGTTAATAAGGGTAGTTTACTAGATATATAGGGGGTAGTTAGAGTAGGGGGGTCCTCTTATATATCCCTAGTCATACAAGTATTCACAAAAGAATTCTTCACAAAACGTTGCTTCGACGACTAGCTCATCATGCAGTTCTGCTTTCAGGGATCGGGGCCCACTAAGACCCTCAACTGCGGTCCCGAGCCTCGGGACTTACATTCCCTTCCGGGAGAATCGCACTAGGCTATAGCGAGATTGTCATTACCGCAATCGTGGCGTGACTGTTGGATAGGGGCATGTCTTTTGAAATGCTTGTGAACTTCACCGATGTTGTGAGGTCAATAGCAGGTTGAAAGGTCGCAGAGGGAAAACGTACATAAGGAAGCAAATGGACTCATGGAAATAGGATCATTCGGCCCGCCGCCTCGTCTTTTTAGCACTAATACGACTGTCATTTAAAATCCTTCAGGTGCACTTGGATCGAAGACACCCTCGTTTCTTTACAAAAATTCAATCTCAGGTCAACATGAAGATCGCAGGTATTGTACCTTTTTTGTCCTTGGCAAATGGATACATCTTCCACCCAGAAGATCAAGCCAACTTTAGAAACGTAAGATACTGCAACCTATAGTTTGGTATGCTGACTTCTGACAAACCGAAGCCCAAAATCCCGGCTCTCTTGAACTACACCAAGAGCCAGTATGATATCTCCACCGGGTCCTCCTATTGGGCCAGCTCCTTTATCACTGGAGATGATGGCCGACAGTACATGACGCTGTCCCATCTCCTGACCACTATACCCTCTGTCTGCCGCTCTTCGATACTAGATCTTCAGACCCATGAATGTTGGGTTGACCTTACCTACTGCAACAACACCAATGACAGCGGTTTCGACAACGGTCTCCCCCTGAATGCTGATTATGGGACCTATGGCTTTGGTTCTACTTCGGACGACAGCGTTTCAACGATGTACACCTACGCCCACCCTGAGAAGTCTTTCTCGATCGATTTGGAATGGAACTTGACCTCTCGCGTTATGCTTAATGGAGGGGCTGGCATCATCCCCTTCGGCAACGTGCCAATCAACGCCACAGAATGGGGCATCCCCAACGCAAGAACCGCGGGAACGATCACATTGAACAACAAAACCATCTCCGTTGACACCAGCAACTCGTTCACCTGGTACGACAGACAGCTGTCCCACGGAGCCCCGAAGAATTGGACCTGGTTTGAGCTTCACTTCCCAGGATCGGACATCAAAGCAAGCATCTGGGCATGGGACCTTGTTGATGACGAGAGCACTCGCTTCGCAACCATCAGGGTGGGCAATGGGTACCACGTCCTTGCTTACGAGCTTTCACCCGACTAATCCAACACCTGGGTATCCCCAAACTCCAATCTCACATACCCGCTCAGCTGGAAGCTCACCTTTGAAAACGGCGACCACTTGCTTGTTAATTCTGTGCGTGCGGACCAGGAAATGTATGGCGAGAAGGCATTGATTGACTCGGCTTACGAAGGGTTTGTTGAGGCTACCGGTTCTTTCTATGGACACACTAAATCGTTTGGTGTTGTTGAGCTAGTCACGGCCTTCTAGATTCTTCTTCATCATGTACTGGAAAGCGGTGACTGAAGACTCTGCACCGAAATGTTCGAGTACTTGCGCATCGGCATTTTTGTTTGCAGGCCCTATCAGGCGTTCATCTAAGAATAAATATGCCTTCACCCAATCTGCAATAAACATCAGTAAGCCACTGACCCTCCCAGCAATTCCTGAGACAAAGGTCCATCTCGTTTCTTTAAGATAAACCGCGAGGATAAAATCTGCAAAGTTTCGAATAATCATTGTGATTTCCCGGTTGGGGTATCACTGATGTGTCAGCGGTTGGGAATGTAGTTGATGCTTCCCAGGGAATAACTGAAACCCCGAAAAAGCCAACATTGACGAAAAAGCGATTGAAACTTGAACACAACTCCGGGGGCATCAAGAGACCTTAATGATTTCAACCCATGAAAAATGTCAGTGCGTCCGAAAGTGGAAACGTATCATTCGGGAACACAAGTGGCTCTGATCTGCATCACCAATGTGGGGTCACGGGACAATGGCCACCAGTGAGGTCGTGCCTCATGTATGAAGCTGGAATCCGACCGGGAATAATACGCCGTACCCCTGCAAGATTGTAACTGATGGAACAGACAGAATGAAAGCGATTGCGAATGGCAGCGGTTCAACATAAGTGTGTCAATATCATTCACATATAAATATTTGAACAAAAGCGCCCAAGATCATGAACGATTCCTCATCGAATATCCTTTCATCTTCTTCAGTTACCAAACATACAACACGATGTCGAACCCCAACCCCCATGTCCTTATTGTCGGCGCCGGACTCAGCGGCCTGACACTTGCTCAGATACTGCGCAAGAACAACATCTCTTTCTCGATCTTCGAGCGTGACAGCAGAGCTGACGCCAGAGCGCAAGGTTGGGCTATCGCACTCCATGGTCCCATGCTGGCCGAAGTCTCAGCTTCGATGCCTGCGGATCTCGGGCCTATCGAGCAAACCAACCACCTGAGCCCCCTGGACCACATTCCGGCCCAATTTGTCTTCTACGATGTCAGCAAGCCCGACTGGAGAGTTGGCGTCACAGACGATGAGACCGGCAAGATTGTCCGCGCGAACCGCCAGCGCCTGCGGGACTGGCTCCTGCAGCACCTGCCTGTGCAGTTCAACAAGCGCTTGGTGCGCGTGGAAGAACGGGATGACAAAGTTGTGGCGCACTTTGAAGATGGCAGCTCCGAGACCGGCGACATCCTCGTTGGGGCAGAGGGAAGCCGGAGCTTGGTGCGCAGACACATCCTGGGCGGACAGGAGATCATGAAGCCGCTGCCAGTCGGATCATTGGTTGGAGAGATCGAGTTGACTGGCGATGAGCTCAAGCACCAGATCGAGCTGGGCCATTCGGCTTACATCGTTTTGGATTCGTCGCCACAGAATGAGGGCCCGAGCCAGGTCAGCTTATTCGCCGCCTTGAACAAAATCAGCCCGGACAAGAAGACCGGGTATTACTACTTCATTCTCCACTGGATTGACGAGGAAGCGGCGAAGAGCACCGAGGAGAAGCCGTTTTGGACTGTCACGGCGTCGCGGGAGGAGCTAATGGCGTTTGCGAAGAAGTGCACCAAGCAATATCCAGACAATTTGCGCGTACTTGTCGACAAGGTACCGGTCGAGAGATACAGGCAGCCTGGCATTGTGCTGCAGAGTGTGGAGCTGACTGTTGATCAGCTCCCTGCCGGGAGGATCACTCTGGCGGGAGACGCCGCGCATTCGATGACGCCTTGTGAGTTTGACCTCTTCAGTGATAATTATTTCACGGCTAACAGGCTATTCTACAGTCCGAGGAGAGGCTGGAGTATGTGCAATCACCGATGGCTTGAGACTGGCTCGCGCCATTACCAGCATCCGAGACGCTGGGGCAAAAAGCGAGGATGTGGTCAGATTCATCACGGAGTATCGCGACGATATGATCGCAAGGGGTGCTCAAGCCATTCGCGTCTCCAACCCAGTGCTTGAGGACCATGCGAAGGACGCCAAGTATGAGTTCTATACGTGTGGCAAGAAGGTGTTGCCTCTCGCCAAGGAAAGCGTTACGATATAAAGATAAATGCTCTGAATGGCATTTCGGGTTCTGTGTATGTTTCAACGGGTTGAGCAGGAAACTGTTATGGCAGCCTCTTGCAAGGTACCTGGCTCGAATTTGACCTCAAGTAGCAGTCTACTATTCGAAAGCCCTCTACAGCGTTTCCATAGCTTATACGTACTCTTCACTATCTCAAAATACCACCAAAGCTTGCTTCTAGTCATCTGCCGGACATGATTCCTTCGTAACCTCTCACCTCGCACTTTGGAAATAGATGAACAAATGTAGTTGAAGTTTATGTCCTAGCTCCTACAAATGGCAGCTGCTTTTCCAAAACGCGAGCCTTCAGACCGACCCAGGCGCAAAAGTCCTGCCAGCATTTATAGCTGTATTTCCGGCACTCTACTTCTGTACGAAATGACCGTGTGCGGATCAGGCACGAATCGGTGCTCGTGAGCACTCCTTGGTGGCTCGTTCTCATAAGACCAGTCGTATTTCATAATGAGATGACAGAGAATGATCTTGATCTCGTTACTGGCGAAAAACCGCCCGGGGCAGGCATGCTTCCCGTGCCCAAAGCTCAGGAAGTGAGGGCTCGTGGTCACGAACTGCCACTTGTTTTCCTGCCCTGGCTGCTGCCGCATGCGCAAGAATCTGTGGCCGTCAAACTGATCCGGGTTATCGCCTAGGACCTCCGGATCGCGCATGTGAGAGGTGGGGACGCCAAGATGAACACCTTTAGGCAGGTATGTGCCATCCGACAGGGTAATCGGCGCTTCGACGCGGCGGTTCATCATATCTGGCGGTCCGAGATGTCAGCGAACGTGTCTTGTTTCGAAGAAGAGTAAGATAGTACTCACGATGTCCTAGGATATTCAAGCGCTGACTTTCCTTCATGCAACTGTCCATGAGTTTCATCTTATATAAGCTTGTCTTCTTCCAGCCACCATCCTCGCGCAGGACTTGAGCAATCTCCTCCCTCAGAAGGTCGAAGTACTTGGGGTTGTTAATAAGATCATACAACAGTGCCGTGAGGGCGGAGGACGTGGTATGGATAGCAGCAAAAGTCAGGAAAAGCTGGCCCTTGACAATGTCGAAATCCCGATCTCCACGGACGTCGTCTAGCCAGGAGAGCGAATCTTGAGGTTTGGTGGACGTCGAACGAGCTGCTCTTCTCTTCTCCAATTCAGGAAGAATAATAGCCCGGGCCTTTTTGGTGATACCCTTGATGTACCAGAGTTCCGGAAGAAAGTGATGAATGAACGGCCGTAAGATCGCCGGCCAAGCTCTGAGGCTGTTCTCCGAGTGTAATGCTACGCTTGTGAATGATATAGAGATGTCTATCCATTCGGAGTTATGGCAAAGCTCATCGCCAAGGAAGGCCAGAGCTGACAGTCTGGCCGCAGCTTGGGCTGCGGTCATGTAAAAGTGGACACGCTGCCAATCTCCTACCACCGGTGTTCGTCAGAAAATTAGTGTTCAACTAAGTTGCACCTATCATGATATCTGGGGTGCTCTCACCGTTTTCTGCTGGTAAGCAATCGTTCAAGACTGCTGCCGCCTCGTCGGAGAGTCGTTGTGTCAACCCTCCGAGCGCCTGGGTAAGGTGCTTTCGAATCGTTTCCTGAATGATTTCTTCCTTAGTACTGAGGTGTAAAGCGTCGAGTCCAGGATAGTTGGTAAGTTGTTGCTAAAAGAATAAAATCGAGTCAGCGCAAGATCGGAGAAAAAGTAGGCTGTTTGTTTTAACTCACGCGCTCCAAGAACCCGGCAAAGGTCAGGCGGGGATCGTTGCGTATTTCATCCGCCAGATCCAGAGGAATCATGATCAAAGGACCTGAGTCTGTTATGACTTGGAACGGCCGTCCTGCTGTCTGTAATTTGATCAGATCGACGCGAAAGACATAATGGGTCAAACTCCCGCCAGTATTGGCACACATACTGCTTGGAAACCTTCCTTAATGAGTCTGAGGGGGTCATCTTGCCATCTTTTCAATGCCGCGTTGTCGAACCATTCACCCGGCTCTTTGCCGACAAGCTTAAATCCAGAGAACGGTTTGCCATCGCGAATGTACCAGCTGAAAAGCGAAATCAATCCAACGACAATGGTTGGGAGAAACCCTTTAGGCGTAACTGCGATAAGCTGTCGAAGGGTTTCCATGGCGTAGGAGTCTTTTTGTATTCCTGATGAGTGCGACATCAGGAGAAACCCAAACACGGACAATGCCTATGTCTATTACTTATAGCATTGAATCGTTGGCACGCAGCCTACTCTCCTCTGCGGAGAAGAGGGGTCTCACCCCGGGTCCAACAACCCAGCTTGCGGAGCGGACCTTCGGCCCACTGAATACCACATTGGACCGGGTTCTTCAATCGGTCCATTCCGTGGGTATGCTGCTGCTGAGCAGTGACATTATAGGGTGGCGGGGTGTTGACCGCCGGACTTGCGGCATGCAAGCCATCCCGACTATCCTCTTATATTATCTTGGATTCGTCCGCACGGCTGTCTACCACCTTCATTCCTCCGCCAATCTCAACCAGCAATCATGAAGATCCAGGGACGTACTTTCATTGTCACAGGCGGGTAAGTCAGCCACTGCTCCTGGCTGCGTTCTCATTGCTAAGCTGAATCCCCAGGGCCTCCGGCCTTGGTCGCGGTTGCGTGGATATGATCATCCTTCAAGGGGGCAACGCTGCGGTCATCGACACCAACAGCAATCTCGGCACCGCAGCGACTACGGAACTCGGACCTTCGATGAAGTTTCTGCATTGCGATATCACCATTACGCAGAGTGTTGCCGATGCCATCAAGGCCACTCTAGACTGGGCACAAGAAGCCGGCAAACCCGTCGGCGGTATCATCACTGCTGCTGGAACTGGCTCTCCGTGCATGGTAAGGATTTCCACCTCGCACTACTACTCACGAGTAGCGAGGTTCTCTCCCTAGCAAGGAGACTAATGTGATTTTAGCTACTGGATGCAGAGCGCGTCCCTTGCTCTTACGCGCACATGGAGACCGTCCTAAACGTCAATTTGCGGGGTACCCTGGATCCCATCCGCCAGCTTCTGCCTCACTTAGCCACTGTGTCCCCAGAGGGACCGGACGGAGAGCGCGGCGTTGTGATCATGGTGGCCAGCTCCGCAGCTTTCGAGGGACAATCTGGTCTGGTCGTCTATTCGGGTAGTAAAGGGGCAGTGGTATCAATGACGCTGCCCATGGCACGGGATCTTGGCCAACACGGCATTCGTGTAGTTACAATTGCGCCAGGCTTGTTCGAGACGGGGATGACGGCGTCCATGCGACCACAGGACCGCGAGATGCTGACCGGGGCTATGGAGTTTCCTCGGCGACCAGGAAAGCCGGAAGAATTCGCTAGGCTTGTGAAAGAGGTGATAGGAAATACCATGTTAAATGGTGAGGTGATCCGACTTGATGGCGGAGCTAGGTTGCCGAAGGTTTTCTAGCTCACCAGGGATGAGACAGAGGCGGCGAATTTTGACATTCAAATAACTTGAGAATTGAGGAGTCTAGAGTCAGGCAAATTGCGTAAACATAGTCGATGACACCAGGAATTAGGGTTTATGTTAAGTTAGATAAGAAAACAAATCACAGGAGATTGCTCGAAGAGATGAAAGTCCGCACATTTTGTGTACTGTAGTAAGTGATAGGTGTAGAACGGAGGACCCATATCTGCCGTCCGCTTGCGGGAAACACCTTTGCCTCCGCCGCCGTCTGTCTGTAATGTTACCGAAATACCTGATGTGTGGCACATTCGCATCAGATTGGCTTTGCATATGTACTCCTAGCTGCTCAAGGTTGGATGGCGCAGGGATGCCACCCCTGGACTAGAGTCATCGTGTGGAGTGAATCCGAGTGACACCGGCTGCTGTGCGGAGCGGGGACCCGGAAGTGGGTCCCGCATTTACTAGCTGCAAGGGCCGAATGAGGAAAACCCGACCCGACCACACGGCCACTGAGACTTGAACAACGGTCATGTGTGTTATGAGCCAAAACAAACCTAGCAGACGAATTTGCGACATTTGGAACCAGTTCCAGAGGCTCAGTCTGGTAATAATCTGGTAACCTCTCATCAAAGGACCTTCCCGCTTGGCAGCTGCATAGACTCACCGAACAGTAGCAAATTACTTGCAGTAGCTCTTCTGGCGAGCCATACAATGCTGCTCGCCGTTCTTGACGCTTCATCAACTTTGTCAACTGACCCTACGGTCAATGTGAAACGTATTGGACAGCTTGCAGGACCAAGCCTCACGGCCTGGTCAGGCATGGGTGAGGGAGTCCACATGCTCAGCTCGAATGATTGCTTTTGCCGTCGGCCACGGTATCCTGCACACCCCCAACGACTCATTTCAAATACGAAATAGCCTTTCTTGGGCTGAAAGTCCGCCAGATGAATGTCCGCCCAGATCCCGGTTACAACCTGGAATGTCGGCGCAAGCCCTGCGTGAGCAAAAGCCTCCTTGGCCGCTAGTACTCCGGGTCATCGGCGCCAGCAGTTCATCAAGCGGACTTCATGCACGGACGGCAGAATATGGCGGAATTCACTGAGAGGTGAGAGCACCGACTGTACATCATGTGGTGGGAATCGTGAGATAATTCGCACGTCGACTCGATAGCTTAAATCTGGTGACATTTCTCAAGCTGTAAATCGAATGCCATCTATCTTATCCACCTTTAGTCTCACTGCTTCTTGAAGTACTCCAAGTCCGGAACAGCAACCCAACAACTTCCGCCCAGTGAAGCTTTGCAGAAAGCTTTAACACCATGTCTCATTACGCCGCAGCTCATCAGAACCCCCAGGGTCCAGGCGACGCCCGCCCCACGGCTCTCCAAATCATCGAAGACGAAAATCTCGTCGGAAAGCTGGCCGGTAAGACAATCTTCATTACCGGCGCAAACCAAGGCATCGGATTGGACACTGCTCGTGCCCTCTACGCGACCGGCGCGGATATCTTCCTAGGCGTTCGGAGCAACGAGAAGGGCGACAAGGCCATAGCCAACATTGAAAACACCCCGAATCTCCCTGGGAGAGGATCACTCCAGGCTGTCGTGCTTTCACTGGACTCACTTGACTCCGTGCGCAAGGGTGTCGAGAGTTTCCTGGGCAAGAGCGGGGGCAAGCTCAACATCCTCATTAATAACGCTGGTGTCATACAGCAGGAGAAGACGAAGACTATTGACGGATTTGAGTCCCACTTTGGGACGAATCACATTGGGCATTTTCTTCTCTTCCAACTGCTGCGGCCCGCACTGCTGGCGTCTGTCACTCCGGAGTTTCACTCCCGCGTCGTGGCCGTTTCCTCGATGGCTCACCGCGCGAGCGAAATCCGTTTCCACGACCTCAACTTTGAGGAAGAAGACTCCTTCGAGCAGTCAGTGGCCTATGGGCATTCGAAGACGGCCAACATATACTTTTCAAACGAGATTGAGAGGCGCTTCGGCCCCCAAGGCCTCCACTCGCTCTCGTTGCATCCCGGGTCTATTATGACGAACATGTCTGCCGCGCAGCCCGTCGATGTGGAAGCGGCGAAGGCGGCAATGGGCGAGGAACTCTTCAACAGGATGATGAGTATCCTCAAGAGCCCGGCCCAAGGGGCTTCCACCACTGTCTACGCCGCCGTCAGCAAGGAGTGGGAGGGAAGAGGTGGCAAATATCTCAGCGACTGTGTCAAGGCTCACCCGACCTCCGCCGGCTACAACATGATGTCAACGGACACCGGATATGCGCCTTGGGCCTACGACGAGGCAAAGGCGAGCTTGCTCTGGAAGGAGTCTAGTAAGCTGGTCGGCATAAACGAGGAATAACAGGAAGGTTAACTTGTCCAATCACGATGTTTGCGTCCATCACTAAGCGCATCGAGTGGCGAGATTAAAGAAGGATTGCTGGTGACGAGATTGGATAGGCGCTGTAGAAGTATGTTCAAGTACATAAAGCCCATCCTATGAGACAATAAAACAGCCAACAAACTGCCCTTCACTCTGCCCATGACCACTGTGCACCACGCGAGTGCCCCCTTATTAGCGGCTTCACATCCACCAGCTACCACATACGACCATACCCATTGGAAAACTCGGGATCCCGTCCGCTCTCCCATCGATAAACCAGTGAGGGCTGGAGGAGTAGTCGGGTCGGTGACGACCGGCGAATGCCCGGTGGTGTATGTTTTTTTTGCCTTTGATTAGGGTGGGTCACGATGTCTAGCTTTTGGCGCCCCAAACACACCTGTGTACAGCAATAGTTTTGCTGCCTTTCAAGCAAATTTCGTCGAAATGAATACTTGTGCGTTCTTCTCAACTGAGATATCGGCGAAAAGAGCCATTGCAACAGAATGGTAGCAGCACTGGCTGCACGTGAAGAACACGCTGACAACGGTGTATCATCAACGTCCATCATACCTTCATCCACATATCTTGCCCCTTCTTCCTCCTCTTGACTTCCCTGGCAGTTATCATGAATGCCATCCCCAACGACAGACATGTTCCTGCGAAGGCCTGAGCTCCAACGTAAGAACCGCCGACAGCCGATATAAGAGCACCCCCGATTGGCGGCCCGATCAAACCCGCAAAGCTCACAATCGTAAACACCATCCCGATGCGAGTACCCTGCTTCTGCGGATCAGATGTAAGAGATGCCAAAGCGGACGGGAACAGTGACTGGATGCCGCCGGTAGCCATGCCAGAAAAGGATGCCCAAACATATACGCCCGCTGGAGAGGCGACCGCGATCCAGGAAAACAGAAGCAAAGCACCTGCTCCCGCAGTAGGCACGAAGACGGTAAGGTTCCCAAACCTATCAGCAAGATGTGTGAGCAGGAGTCGGCCCACCATTCCAACGCCATTCATCATCATGACGAGGTTTAGCGACTTGGTATACGACATGCCCTGGATGTCTCGAGCGTAGGCGGCGACGAAGAAGAAGGCGAAGTAGGCTCCCATCAGGCACTGTATTAATCGTCAGCATCAAAACCGCTAATGGTATTTGTCCATGTATTGGGTAACTTACCAGGACAGAGCCACACGCATAGGATGTGTACTCGAGCTCGCGGAACGCCGACCATTCGACGAACTGCCCCGTCTTACGGGGAAGAACCCTCGGTCGTAAGACAGCGACCGCAATCGCCAATCCACCGCCTTGAACAAATCCGATTGTCCTCATTGTCCACCCGAAGCCCACTCTCGGTAATAGTTGGCGTACCAGCACCGGGTACAATATGCCCCCGACTCCGCTGCCACAAGCGGTGATGCCAATCGCCAGCGAACGACGCTTGTTGAAATACGTTGACACGATGGCAACGGCAGGGCAGAAGAGACACCCACTACCGATACCAACGCAGATACCTTGCGCCAGGAATATCTGCCAATACTGCCTGCATGCTGACGTTGCTAATGTTCCGGTTACCGTCAAGATAGCCCCGGAGATGGATAGTGGACGGAAGAACCCTGCGTCGGTCAGACGGCCAGTGAAGGTGCCGATGAAGAAGAGCAGGAAGACGTTGATGGACCCGATCCAGGAAATGTCGGATGGTGGGCGGTCAAGAGCTGTGACGTAGTAGCTCTGAAAGACGCCGAAGGAATTGATCACCCCCCTAGTCAACATTGTCAGTCATGCCTTGCTGAGGAGACTCCGAGAGATTCCTCTGGCGGGGGAGCTAGGGGAGCCAACGTACCACGTGTTCATCACGACCAGAAACGTCCCCAAGACTGCCAGAGTTGATTATTAGTTCATGTGCGACGAACCAATGTCATTGCCACTCACCGCAAAGCCATGCCCAAAGGCCTCCATCAGGAGGAGGTCCCGGGTCAGAAAGGGAGCTCGAGAGAGCTACGTTGGGCACGCAGTTCGCAACGGTGCTGGTCCTGCGATCATGTACATTGTTTGAAGCCTCATTTCGAAAATTTCCTCGGGCGTCATTCCCATGGTCTAACCTCGTGTCGGTAACGTCTTTCATCGTGTCATGGCCCGACCTCCTGTCCATGGCGTCTTGCGAAGCATCTCGTTGCAGGTAATGCTCTGTCTTTTCCATGGCGTCTGCCTGGTTCGGGAAGCCAGTTGTGGTCGCCATTGAATATCGATCTCGGATGTAAGCAAGTTGAACTCTCGAATTACCTGTCCAGTGAGTTAACTATACGAGGTAGGTTAGTTGAAAGGATAGACTGAAGCCTAAAAAGGTATTGAAATCAAAATGATTCAACTCGCTGGGGTTCTTACGTCTCTTTGACCACCGGATCCTGTCAGTCGTGTTGGCGTATCTCTATAAGGTATTACGACAAAATCAACACCTGGATATTAATCATCGCTAAGAAAGCTCTACTCTACTCCAGTCAAGACACGAAAATATTCAGCGGGGGCAGCTAACTACCACCGATAACAGAATTGTATGGAAAGTGGTTATACAAAGGAGTGTAAGGCGTACTTGACGAGATGATCACTAATCAAAGGTATCCACAGTAACTCACAACTCCCAACTTGGAAACCTGGCCATGGATTCCGCGGATTCCAGGTCTTGTCTAGGCATTACCTTCAGATATCCCGTCATTGATGCTGTCATGTTGAAGGGCTTAAAGGGGCGAATGGAGCGCGCACTCAGCAAGGTCTATTCGCCCGGGGCCCAAAGCAAAGAGAAAGACAGCGAAGAGAATCACACAGCGCGAGACGTAAGGATACGTTTTCATAAAACATCAGAACCTTGTTTTTCATATACCAGTGTAATATATCAACTATTCCAAATACGTTTGACGCGCATCTTCGCCACTGTGATCAAAATTCACCCCACCACCAACGAAGCAGCTCTGCACTTCATCAATAACATGAACCAAGTCGGTCGGTCCCATTGTCACGTCCGCCGAAGACCCCATAAAGTAAGACATGATGTCAGCCGACATGAAAGATTCATCGTTTGCACCGTAATCAATGGTGAAGGCTGTGTATATCATTTCTTCATCCCCGAATTGGACCGACGACGTGCCGTTCCACGGTAGACCCATGTCACTCCAGTCGACTACTGGCTCTGAACTCAAGTTCGAGGCAGCCTCTACGGATGTCCGAGATTCCTGTGGAGTCTGGAAGGACCCTCTCTTGTTCCGATGCTGAGTAAATCTTCGTGTGGTTGCCGTTGAGATACGGTCCAAAATGTCGCGACTTCTCTTCGCCTCTGGCCAATATTCTCCGATGGCGCTCAAGATATCCGAGGAGACTTTAAGCGCGCGGACTACCGAGTCAAAGTCCTGTTCCTTGACAATCTCCCCAGGCTTCCAGACGCAGTAAAACACGACCATGACACACAAGAAGAGATAATGAATGCTGAGCCATCCATATTGCAGAGAGTTCGCGACATAGAGTGAATGGTAGAGCTCTGTGCATGTCAGAGCACTCTGGAAGCATTCGCGCAGTGACGCCTTGTCCAGGTTCTGTATCCTCGGACTTGGTCGAAGTATCAGCATCGTAAGTTCATGATACTTAATTTCACATAGGATACTGATGCACCCTGGGCTTCCTTCGGGATGCCTCGGCATGTTATGCTTCCACTGGCGCAGGCGACTCAGAGTATGGACTCTCCAATTCTCTGCATCGACAACCATGGGTTGCGTATACGGCGGATACTGGCGATCGCCACAGTAAAGGACGCACTTGATCTCGGAGTTGAACCCCGCCAGCCTGAAAAGATGTATGGCACTGGTAACTTTGGTGGGTGACTCGGACTCTTGGCGTGGCTTGAGCTGATCCGATTTCAGCTGTTCGTCGCCAACATCTAAGGGCAGCTAGGAGAATGGTCAGCAACATTGCCGTTGAAATATTGAAAGAAGTAGGGAACTTGCTCTGAGCTCGAATTGCTCATCCACCACACCCATAGGTCTTCCCATCAGCGTGCTCAAAAGTCTGTCAATTGTATAGGTACACCAGAAGACTCGAGTGCGCAACTCTCTCTCGAACGTGGAAAATGTACTCACCGGTACATTGCGACATGGCCCCAGTTCCATTGCCAATGCTAGTCCATGGTGGTGGAGCGACCAAAGACTCAGTCCGGATGACGGGCTGTTGATTGCATAAGTACATCTCGAGGAGCAAGATGCATTGAACAGAGGCAATAGAAGATGTCTTGAGTATCTCGTCGACAAGTTTCATGGCAGAGGAGCAGTACCCTTCGGCAGACAGCGCCACCTTGGTTCGCCGGGAGAGGTGTGCTGCGCCTATGGCGAGAACCATGAAGACTTGGAATCTGTTTACCGAGGAAATATGCGCGGCGCCATATGCCCGGCTTACAGTCTACCAATGGGTAGGCTCGTGGAGGAACGGGAACTGTAGATGGACGTGTTCCAAATAGGCCTGCAAGAGCCACCTTTCGTGCCTCTCATCGGCAGGCAGGTCTTTCCGATGGGGTACGAGAAATCTGAAGGGACAATAATGCTGTTGTGAGCAAAGTCGGTGGCGGAGGTTCGATCAGACACAGATAGAATTCGTTTACCAAGGCCAGCCAGAACGAACTTGGTGAAAACCAAGCCGCTGGATGGGCCAAGGTATCGAAGATCTGCTTCGTTGGTGACGGATATGAGTCCACTTTGCTCCGAGATTGTGTCCAGGGATTCTGTATTTTGGTTATTGGGCATTTGGCCTGGCAGCTCAACAGTTTCGACTTCGTTTGACACGCCTGCTGACTTGTTCAATTGCCCTGGTCCAGCACTTAGGTCGAAGCTAGGTATACGCTCTTCAATGACGGACACGACATGGTAATGCAGTCATTGAGTATACTTGTCTTCCGGCTCGTTGAGATTTAATTGGGACAATGATCCCAGATCAAAGTACTAGTAGAGCCCAGCTCTCTGACCATTTCAAACATCAAACTTATAAAGATTGTCATTAACAATCCAAGGAAAAACAGAAAGAGAGAGAACGGAAACATGACGGGAAACCCGTGGTGGAATCTCGAGGAAACACGGAATGGCCGTCCACCTCGGCTAAAGGTGCACCGGAAGATGCTGGAATTTGCCGCGCAACATGATTTCAAGCCGTTCATTGAAGTCTTTCCGATGTCCGAGAATGGTATCAGACAGGCTATTGATATCAGGCAGGCTACTGAGAAACTAGAATCCGGGAACATGCATTTCCGGGCAGTTATCAGGGTGTAGGAAGCTATCTCCATTTCTGCGTCCGAAGTAGGAATACGATGGTTGGGTACTTTTTTTCTTTGGCAGATTTCCTTTGGAATGAAAGTTCGGTCACGAAAGCTACGAACACACTAAATCAGCGTGTGCCTTCACAGATAATTGTTCCTGCGTTATCTACACCTGTGAAATTGTATGTGACCACATTGCCTTCAGTGAGAACTATGGCCGGGTCGGTGATCACCTCGGTCTGCTGCAGAGAAACCGAGGACAGCATCTTCTTACCTCCCCCTTCAACTCATTTGCTGCTTTACGCATTCTTTTAATCCCATTTCGGAGAGAGGATTGACCAAGATCAACAGTAGTTATTCAGCATTACAGTGGCTTAGAGGTTATATGCCACCTCCGGCTGAACAATGCGCCAAGATATTGAGCTATATCACCATATCACATTCCGACAGCGAATCAAAGCATTACGGTGATGACTCAAACCAGGTATAATGATGCAGTCCATATGCGTCGATTAGTAAGAGACTCGCGGAAGGGAACCTGTTTGGTACCGGCAATCGCCGCCGTGTCGTACGACGAGGTTCTATTTTGCTAATCTGATTGTTCAGCGAAAGACTCGATTATCTGTCCTTCCGAACACATCAGTTACGAATCAAAGTGGCTTTCATAGGGTATCTTCAGGTAAACGAATATGCGGACTAAGCGGCGTCCGGATGTATAATGGGTCCAAACCTGTTACCGAAACTATTGCCGCTTTGCTTGACTCTGCCCCTGGCACCAGAGCCCCTGTAAGTCATCACAGACCATACGATCGCCGTGTCGCCCAATAGGAATACGTGCTTTCAATGGCGAAAATTACTGTTTCTGATGATCGTGAGCTGCACCCGGGTAATGATGGGTATATATAGTTATTGTCATCGAATGAGCGCTCACTTATCTGGGCTGGCCATCGTGAATTACAATAGATAAAGCCAACCGTCTACTCTCTCTTGAATTTGACTAACTTTCTTCTTGGGGCAGTCATCTCATCATGTCAGCTATTCCTACTCTCGTCGAAAGGGATAAGGAGTACTATGCCCTTGACTTCGGCAGTAATCTACCTCCCGGGACGGATACGGTGGATCAGCTTCACAATAATCAGAGACAGCCAAGACCCCCGTCCCAGCCTCAGAGACCCGTGCCAGAGTGGCCCTCTGAGGAGGAACGGAAAGGGAAATGGATTTCAGCGTATCTTGACACAGTAAGACCATTTTCGTACGAAAGCTGGACAGTGACATAATTGCACTGAGGCACTGACTTGTTGCTTTTCTCCTCATAGCTTGACCCTGAGACTGAATACGACCAAATCATCAAAACCGCGAACTTCTTTTCCGGCAACACATTTGCGGTTGCAATGGGATACTGCTCCACGTTTGTGATGCTGACGCAGCCTCCTGGGGGTGCTGCGGCAATTCACTTTGGGGCCAGAGCATTCAAGCGCCCCCATCGACGGTTTTACGAGACAGCAGACCAGCTCCTAGATTGGATGTGGTACGGCAGTGCGTCCGAGGAGACAAAACGAGGAATCGAGGCCGTAAACAGGCTACACAAAACCATTTGGAAGAACACCCCAGGAGCCTTCAGCAACCCTCCAGAAGGCCAGATGTCCGTGATTGGGTCAGCGGTGTTTGAGACGTATCTCCGAAAGCTTGTTGGGGCGAAGAATCGGGAACCTCATCCTCACGTTGCAGCTGCGTGGCCTGCATGGGCGGAAAGGGTTTTGGCGCAATTTCGAACGGAACCGGCAGACGGGAGCCGCAGCTTTGGAGTCAACTTTCCGAGAACATGGGACGAACTTGAAGGCTTTTATCGCTGGTTTCAGGAATTGCCTTTCGACAAATTGACAAATTCGGAAGATAGACAGAAAGGCCACGCCATCGCTGAGGCTTTCGTAACACAGTTCAGCACACTGTGGTTTCCCAAGTAAGTCGCGCCAACGAGTCAAGACCTCGAACGCTTCGTGTGGATTTCTCGAACAATGGGGATGGCTAATTGACTGAACGCAGACATCTTCACTGGTTTGGCCGTCAGATGCTCCTGACGGTTCTTGCTCCCAAAGTCCGTGAACAGCAAAACATCGGTCACCCGAACCCTGTGCTTGAACGTTTGATTAAGCTTGGGTTGAAGATACAATTTGACTTGATTGACATAATGCCAGACCCGGTCAAGCCAATGCTCTTTGAGGAGTACCAGGCCGTTAAAAAGTGGGGTTGGGGGCAAATAGATGCCGACGTCACTCGGCAATGGGAGCGCAAGGGTCGGGTAATCGATTTCTGTCTAGGAGTGGTTGTACTTTTGTGGGCTGTTATGTTTCTCTGGTACAAGTAAGCTTGAGATTGTCAAAGGTTCTGAGCTACAATTGATGCATTCCTCATTGGTAAAGCCGTCTTAAAACGGCGCCGAACATGGCCTCTTCGTACAAAACCACCAGCCCTTACATGTATCCAGCTAGCCCGGACACCAAACCATTTTGGATAAGAATTGCACTAACGACGGAAAACCCTATCACGTTCTAGAGCGACGTATCAGATGAAACTTCCTTCCACTCATCCAAGAGCTCGATCGTGTCAGCGCACTTCTTGCGCAGTTGGGCCACTGCGTCCGGTCCCAGGGCCAAGCTGATCGGCAATGACCGTCCTTGAACAGTGCCCGAAGATTCCACCAGATCAATGATATGAGAAACCCCTTTTGCGGGGTCTCCAGGCTGCTGATGGTGCGCTCCCTTGAACTGAGCATACAGCGAATCGACGGTGGACTTGTATTCCGGGATCTTCGTGTCCACGTAGACAGTATTGTTGGCGTTCAGCAGTTCGGTGCGGAAGAATCCCGGCTCGACTAGTAGGGTTTTGATTCCAATAGACTTGACCTCCCGGTCAAGCGTTTCGACGGCACCTGATGAAACCAAATACTTGTGTTAGCTTCTTCATCCATGGCTTCCATGGGACAATTGGTTCACGCACCTCTCAACGCGCTCTTGGATGCACAGTATGCCCCTAGGGTAGGGATACCTCCCCAGGCAGCCGTGGAGCCCATGAAGACTAATGTTCCGGACTTGCGAGCTCGAAAATGAGGCAGGAAGGCTCGTGTGATACCGAGAGGTCCAAAGACGTGAGTCTGGAAGACTTTGCTCCAGTCTTCTTGACTATGATTTGTTGGAATTAGGCACGTTATGGGGAATGGAACGATAGTAGCGGTGGGAGTAGCTCACTTGTCATCCTCGATTGTTCCAAAATGCGAGTAGCCAGCATTGTTGACCAAAACATCAACACCGCCATAGATACCCAACGCCTCTTGAGCCACCCTGTTAAACTCGGACTGGCTAGCCAGAAGGTCAAGCTTCAATACGGCTGCGCCAGCCTGACGAAAGTGGACTATCTTTGAGATGTCGCGGGCTGTCGCAATGACCTTGTCTCCTTTTGCGAGGATTGCTTTGACAAACTCAGCGCCGAAGCCCGAGGTGCTTCCGGTGATGAGCCAAACGAGAGGTGCCATGATGAATCGAGTGCGTTTGCTATCCAGCTGTTGTATGTCTTCCGGAGATGGAGCAACGAAGATCATGGTCAATCATCCGCCATCAAACGACCTTAAATAGCAACGCGTCAAACAACTGATTTGAAATCCTGCGAAGTTACGGTTATCACGGCCTTGGGGAACTGAAGTCACTTTGGCCGTGTCAGCGGACTTCGGGGAGAACTGGCGGACATAGCGGAAGTAAGGATATCAGACGCAAAGTCTAGTTTGAATACTAAGCTACGGACACCATCGTGTTGCGGATCATGCCAATACTTACGATTGGAAGCATGTGCAATGTTATGTCTTGTGAAGGCGCCACCTAATCACAATGTCTCCGAACCAATACCGAGCACCCTTGCGCTCCATAGAGCTGTGGATTGTCATTCTTGACCTGCACAATTTATCAGCAAAGCCAAGAAGATGACGATATTGTGATTCTTGGCTACATGCCGTCCGAGAGAGGAAAACGGTACGGTGGTTGCTATCACCTTGGCAATTTCGAGATATTGTCTAAGCCACCTAGCCCTTGTGGACATCGATTTGGGTCTCAGGAGAAGGTCGCTGATCTCTGCAGTACTTAAGAAAGGCAACAAACTGCCTCACGGCATGGTGAGAGCCTTTTCAAATCACCTCATATCTTCGACCTATGATCTAAAAATCTAAAATCTTGAAGTCTAACAACAATCCTAAAACATGTCTCTTATCAGCATCGCCAAAGGCAGTCTTCATTTGGCCGGCCTCCTTCATCGGCCGGAGACAGCCTCAGCCAAGGCTCCAGGTCTCGTCGTCGTTCACCCTGGCGGCGGCGTCAAGGAGCAAACAGCCAGCCTCTATGCGGAGCGTATGTCTCAGCAGGGGTTCGTGTCTGTTGCCTTCGACGCGCTGTACCAAGGGCAGTCTGAGGGCAGCCCTCACTACCTAGAAGACCCGGGCTCCAGGGTTTCTGACGTCTCCGCTGTCGTGGATTACTTGCAAACTCTCGATTATGTCGATTCAGGTGCCATCGCAGTTCTCGGAATCTGCGCGGGCGGCGGGTACGGAATTGCCGCAGCAGCTACTGATCACCGCATCAAGGCAGTAGCTGCAATCAGCCTAGTCAACATTGGCGACACCAACCGCCAGGGGTGGCTCAACACTCTGAATACATCGGACGCTTTATCTGCGGTCGAGTCGGCCGCTGGAACTATTCAAGACATCGCTGCGGGTGGCAACATTACCTACCTGCAGTACGTTCCCGACCCTCCCCAAGCCGATACCCCCCCTGACCTGGTCGATGCGTGGGACTACTACCGGACCCCTCGCGGCTTTTTCAACACGTCCGAGAACCGCATGCACCCCGCTTCTATCCCTCTGATTTACCGTTTCGACGCCTGGCACCTGGCAGACCAGCTTCTCTCGCAGCCAACCATACTGATCGCCGGGGAGGATGCCGATAGCCGCTGGGGGACCGACGATGTTTACGACAAGATCAAGAATACCAACCCCAATGCAGTAAAGATCTTGGTTCCAGGCGGGCGCCACATGGATTTCTACGACTTGGAACCTTACGTCGCTCCCTCGGTTGCAAATGTGACCGACTTCTTCAAGACCCACCTGAACCTGTGAAGGAGCTGAAAGCTTGAAGCGGGAATGGCAGCCAACGTGACGCTGAAATGCGTTTCAGAGGCCTCACATAGATGAAGCTTGGGATAGATTTGTCGTCCCTTGATCTACCTCGGTCTCAAGATATTCTTCTGAATAAAGCTCTACCACTTCATCCTTCTAGCCGGCTCACCTTCAGGCATCGCTGAATCATGATTCACGTGAACTCACAAAGATGACTTGTGTCTTGAACTTCTGTGTCCAATGGCCTTTGTAGTGAACTTGTCCTATCCAGCAATCCTCAGCTGTCAACCCTAAATGGTCGAATTGCTTACTTCCCCATCGCAGGTGCATCCCAGTTTGCAGACGTGATGCCAGCACTTCCACCTTTCCTCTCTCTGACGTATCGACTGAAGATTTCCATGCCCGGACCATCGTGAAGACTTTCAATCCACATCACCTGACATAGACTGCATTTGACCTCAAGCCACATGATACCTAGAGTGTTCTCCATCAGTGGATAGAGCCTTTCCATTAACCACTCTTGATCTTGGCCATGGAACAACGATACCGCGCCGACCATTAATGCCCAAGCAAAGAGAAAGCTTTCTCCAGCATTGGCGGGCGAGAATATGAGACAAGCTTCGCGAAATTGAGCAGCTAAATATGGATACTGGGTTTTCAGACCAGGAAAGTTCCAGAAGACGGTTGTCAAATAAGCGTGAAGCGACAAGCGGAGAATCTCTGCAAGGGGATTGCATGGATGGTCGTGAAGATCAAGCAAGAGAAGCCGTGACTGAATCGATGTCAGAAACCCTTCAACAACTATGTCCGAGAGTTTTTCACCGCTGCCATGACTGCTGTTGATTAGCTGCGATAGAACCTGGACATCTTCGAAAGAGCTGTGCAGTCCCCTGTCCAGTTCGCGGGTAAGATGGCGGGATCGAGAAAAGCAGGATTGATCAACCGATTCGGCATAGATAGGCTCAGCCAAACCAGAGCCCTCGCATTTGGACGATCCCACGTTTTGCGAATACGCCGGCTTGTAGCCAGTGCACATGCTGTAGATCAAATCTGCCCTTCACGCAATTTGGTCAGCGTCGTTTTGGGGATTCTGCTGAAGGTGGCGAGAACGGGAGGTTGATACTTACCGACGCAGCTTTTCCTGAAGCAGAGGCTTTTCGTCATACGAACTCAGCCCGCCGCGGAGATCAATGATCTTTCTCAACCCCATCATGTGCATGTGGGCACACTCGATATCTCCGAAGCACTCCGCAATGAAGACCATAAACATGACGACAGTGGTTGTGGAATCAGTCAATGCGGTCTTCGGATTGCTAAGCTGCCTATTGAGCTCACTGACTGTTCGATACAAGTGGTACTTTGTTCTTTCGCTCTTCTGACCTGCCAGACTGTCGAAAAAGAATGACGTAGTGTAGAGAACAGCGTGGAGATAGGCTAGGTCAAGTTGGGTCCAGTGGAACCAGTATGTGTTGCTAATATCAGAGTAAGAGTACTTTGCGATCGGGTACATGTTGGTCTTCAAGTGGGTGTAATCTAGGAGGAAGAGCACGTTAATGAGGGTGACTGATTGCCAACGGCCTATAAAAGACCCAACTTACAGGTACATAGCATTCGACGGGCATGAATATCAATATTTTCGGTGAAATTGACGAAAGCAAAGATGCTAGCAGGCGGAGGAAGTAAAACGGAATGTGTAGCGCCGACAGGAGCTTTGTCACCGAAGGCCCCATCATCTCCTTCAGGGTTCATGTTCTCTTGATGGAACTCCCGTAAAGCTCTTCCATCAAGAGCGATGGTAGAGATCTGCCGCTGTTGTCGATCTAAACCGATTCGTTTGCGAGTGTTTTTCCCCTTCATTACATGGCTTCGAATAAGCTTGCGATCTCTCTCAGTGGGCGTCTCATTCGTAGTCGTCACGACAAATGCTAGTTCTCTTTTTGTTTCTTCGCCTGTGAGTCTAACTTCATTGAGGACAATGGAATTCGGAAGATAATCGTACCTTTGAGCAGGGCTGCTCTTGACGAATCCATCGAGATTGGAGCGCTAGCAAACACCGAACGGAACGGGTGAATTTTCTGACAAGTATCCGCTTGTACAGGAGGCTTCAAATTTGTTTCGACTTGTTGATGCTTGACGAGACGGAGCGGACGTTTTTTCTTGACGTCTAAAGTAGGAAAACAATCAAAGCGGAGGGGCTACGGACAGAATAACGGCTTCCCGCAGACCCAGAATTGACCTTCGACACGAAGCACTGACCCACGTCTTGAGGTCTTGCCAAGACTTAGATTGTTTTCCTATTTAGATCTAGTGCGAACTAAAATCGGAAAACACGGTTGTCAGTCTCCCCGCCCATTTCGCTGGTTAAATGATTTGCCTTTGGACTCCCAGCAAGATGAGAGCGATTGCGAACGGAGAGAAATAAGCTCTGCGTGATCCGCTAAGTGGTAAACAGACTCTCAAAATGTTGCCAAAGCATGCCTTGCGCAGAGTGCATGCTGAGAGGCAGGTCATTCTGACGTTTGTGAAATAATACAGACTCCACATCGTCGTCAACCTAGTCGCTCCATTTAAAAGCAGCAATTATTTCATCCTCAGTGTTGACCACCTGTTCAAAAATCAACGTCATCGAAACGCAGTTCTTCCACTGCCTTCATCATGGGCTTCGAATCTTAGATACATAGTCCAAAAGATTGATATGCGAGATTATAAACCGGGTTGCGGTGTAGACCCAGAGTTCTCACTCTGGTACAATGAGTGAACCTGATTTTTTACTCATGTTTCCATTGCACAGACGTACAGATGCCTCATCTCAGTCTCCTGGGGCAATTAAGATCCAACTGCAACGACCCGCGCCACCGACTCTTTTTCGCCTGGAGGCGCTGTAGTTTCACTCGCAGCTGGCGTTCCGTTGGTCGTGGTATGAGAGATGTTTGGCTTCCCCACTCCCCGCGCACCATTATCAAATCCATGACCACCATCACCACGCCGCAGTCTGAGAGTCAAAGAGCTTCGCGCCGGCTTTTGAAGGTTCCTGGTTCGGCGTTTGAAGCCCGTTCACACCACACTTTGCGGTCGAGTCAGAGAGATTACGGCTCCACACTAGATTCTTGTTTCCGTCTTCCGCGCGGCTTGTTCTCTTGAATGCTTCTCCAAACATTTTACACATTCTTGGAGACGAAAGTTCAGATTACTTCGTATTCGCTGCATCCGTACCTCCGACCGATCCGTGGCAGCGTTAGCTAGAGAAATACAATACAATTTATATTGCTCTGTGTCGTTCCACATTGTTGTCAGAACAGCCTCCGATGCTACGATCAACCACCACCACCATGGCGGAGGGCAGCACTTCCCAACGACAATTCATGTCGTTCACCAAGACTTACCACCACAAACCATACGACCTGATCTCTCCCTCTCGACCTGAGCTCTCAGCAGCTGGCAAGAATGTCGTGATTACTGGAGGCGGCACCAGCATAGGTAAATCGATCGCCCTTTCTTTCGCTAAGGCCGGTGCGAGCTCCGTCTCTATTCTCGGCCGACGGCTCGACCGTCTTGAGATCGCTGTCGCAGATATCCGCAGCGCCGCCAAACCTGGAACTCGAGTTCTTTGCAAGAAAGCGGATCTCTCAATTTGCGATGAAGCTCGTGTGGCCATTGACGAGATTTCGCTAGTGGTCGGAGATATACACATCTTTGTTTCCAATGCTGGGTTCTTCCCGAAAGTTGGCGGTGTCGTCCACCAAGCAGCGGAAGACTACCTGGAGGGTTTCAAGCTCAACGTTATCACCACGCTGCATGCCTTGCAAGCCTTTGTCCCCCACGCAGCCCAAGGCGCCATAGTGCTGAATATTTCGACATCTTTAGCCCACATTAAACCGTGGGCAGGACTCTCGGGCTACTGCGTTACCAAAGCAGCAAATCTCAAGCTGGTGGACTTTTTCGCGGCGGAGAATACTGAGATTCACGTTGTAAACGTTCAGCCGGGAGTCGTCGAAACCGAGCTGAGCCCCCAAGGCACTACCTTCAACACGACTGATGATCGTAAGTACACCAGTGCATGAACACGACTTCACCCCGCTGACAAACCTACGCAACAGCGGCACTCCCTGGCCACTTTTGCGTGTGGCTAGCCTCTCCCGAAGCACGATTTCTCAAGAACAAATTCGTCTGGGCCAACTGGGATGTCGAGGAGTTGATGAGTCGGGCGGGAGAGATCGAGTCATCTCACCTTCTTACGTGGATTATTGACGGTGTTCGTATATGATCCTACTAGATGCTACCAGGTAGAGTTCACAGATTTTACCTACGCGCCACACCTGGTTTCAGCATGACGCAGGTATTTCCATACTTGGATTCAATCAATTGACACATTCGGATAAATCAAACGTGTTTCCATGAAGAAGTGTCCAGTATAATGTGCGTTCCCAGCTCTTGCAACAGTCGTGCAGGAGGTTTGCAGTATGCGTCAAGCGCACTCGTGCAACTTTGCTTCTATCAGAAGTCGTGATGAGACTCATCAGCCCAAGGGAAGTACAACAGTGTTGAGAGTACAATGGTCTCCAAAACAGCAGGAGCGTTGGGTAAAAAGAACGAGGTTGTAGAGATCAAGAGACCACGGCTAAGCAATGAAGGCGTCCCTCAAGCCATACTGGTTCATCGACGTTTGGCGTGACAAACGTCACTATCGCGCATACCGGTGGATATCCAATGACCATATCTATACCACGACATTTCGATCAATACTTTCACCATGTTCAAAGACCTCAGGCTTGCGGACTTGCAGGCAGAGAAGAGGGGCGCAAACTGGGTGATAAGATCCTCAACCCATAAGCCTTTCCATCTGCTCTAAGGACTTAGCTTAGTCGCGACACGCTCTTTTGCATTGGCCTGGTCTCTACCACCAGGCTGTAACTTTGTGAGGTGACCGCGAACGACAATAGCGGGTTAGTACATCTATCCCCCCTCAACATAAAGGACGTGTGTGGTTAAGAAGACGTCAGATGTCGACTCGATTAGTTACTACTAAATTAGGGACTTTGCGTATTGTAGGATGGCAACTTCTTCAAAGTTTCCCAGCTCGACATGTACATTCTTTTGGCCCGAACCAGGAGGTAGGATATCCCATCCGTTCTGTTCCGCGAGATGAAGAATGGGCGCCTTCATATCTGTCGGAATCTTCCTGACCTGCCAATCTCTTCCTGTCAGTTGCTCAACTTTGCGTGCCACCTCGTCCAGCGTGTACCATGCATTGGCAACGGTGATCCAGGTGTTTTTGTACTCCAGTGGTCTCTCAAAGGTAGCAGCTAGCACACGACCGATATCGTACCGTAACGTAAACGGATGCCGAACCTGCCCGCTGCCTCTGACGGTAATGCTGAGTGCATCGACATCTGCGCCCACAAGCAAGGGTAGAATATCGTCGAAAAACCCGCTGGCAATCGCGGTCCAGCCTGCACTAGTCAGGAATACGGTTCTGCGGACAAGGCATAGCGCGAAAGGGTCTTGCCAGGCGAAAAATTCAAGAGGTGAAACTCACCGTCAGGGAAACGAGCCTCATGGAGTATCTGCCGCATTTCACGCTTGGCGGCAAAGAAGTCTGATTTACCAGCCCCAGTGTCGGGATGCACACCATATTCGCTGGCAACGAATCGTTTGACGCCTTGATCTTTCGCTTGCCGGATCAAGTTCAGTTGGGCGGTTTTCCCTTGGAGACCTGAGACTATGAGCACAATTTTTGCTGGCGTAGCCCGGATAACCTACCAACCGTGGAAACAACAACGTCAAAGGCTTCAAGCGATGCAAGCTTCTGCGTCTTGATTCCTGCGACAACCTGAAATGACTTGTTAGCGCTCTCGTGTAGGCCGTCGCCTTTGGGATGCGCTGAATATTTACGAACCGTCTCTTGCCGTGAAATTGGCGCAACGTCGAACCCTTTTCCAGCGAGCGCTCGAGTAACTGGCCCCAAGTCAGCTTTGTGACACATGTAGAGCAAGTCCATATCGCGTATTCCTCACCCTCACGTCCGACCCGACCGGTCGCACCGAACACAGCGACCTTTTTGTACGGAGTCATCTTTTCAAGGCGCTGTCTCTAGCAATGTGTATGATCAGTTGTGCTATTGAACACTTACACTTGACCTTAATAGCGACGCTAGAGTACAGGTGTCTACCGCGATGCTTATTAGTAATGTCATTAGACGAGACTGAGGTTGCGTTACAAATCGTCGAAGTGTTGAATAATTATGGAAACGTAACAACTATCGCCCAAGTGCCAGGTCATGCGATGAATGGGCAGTAATTATTTTCTACCGAGCAGTGAACCTTCTTGTGGCGGTCTGGATTCGGAGAAAGCTTACAGCTTCTTGTCGATGTCAAGCACGCCATTTCTCTCGCACTGGATGGGATAGAGCCACCAGCCAGACCCTCCACAATCTCGGCAAGAGAAATGAAATCTGGACGCTAACCTCAGAGTCCAAACCCGCAAGTAAAGTTCTGGGAGGATCCTATCCCAGGCGACTTTTGTTTTGCTCTCGAACGTAAAACAGCACCAGGTGAAACCAAACTACAGGCCGTGTAGAAATGTTCAGGGCCCAATTGTTGGTTACACGAGGAAAATGAGGGAGGAGCGTTGTAGATTTCCAAAGGATTCATGTACATGTACCCCTGAATAATAGCGATAGTCCACAAGCTACACCTACAACACTTCATTTATGTTGTTAGAGGTAGCAAGCCCCGTTCTCGGCCTAGAAGGTATGGAACTCCATACCATATACGAGATCAACCAATACTTACCTGAAAGTGGGCCAAAGGAACATTCCACACTCACAGGCTCTCGCCTTCGTAGAGTTCCATCAAAGACTCCCTGCTGGATAAGATACTGGATGAACCTGGAAATGGTTTCGTGCAGTAAGCGTCCTAATATTCAATTCAATATTCAATTACTGTTTTTTCAGATGAAAGTAGACTACGGTGTGAAGGCCTCCAGTTTTCTCCGATTCGTCGCAACCATAAAGCTCGCTATTAGGGACGAAAGAGTATTGATCTTCACCCTTGTACTCTGATGAGTTCAAATCCCGTGATCGGTTCAAATCCCGCGATCAGTTCAAATTCCGCACTGATTCAACTCTACCTTAGTCTAGTCCAAATCGAGGAACCAACGATTACAAATGGAATGATCAACAAACATTCGTATTGCAATCCGATCCGGACCTCCCGGATTGCGCGACCGACCCCGCCGGTGGTTGTGTAAGAATCCATGTTTGCTGCAATGTCCCTACCACCACCCTTACAGGCCCCAATGATTGCAATGAACAACAACCACTAGTGAACCCGAAATACCACAAAAGCGAAGCAATCTGGAAAGTATTTGCCACTGCCATATCACAAGTCTCACATGTCCACATACTGTTGCTGTTACGAAGTCTCAAGATGCGGCCATTCACTTGGTCTACTTGCTTCTGCTGGCTTTGCGTTTGCTGCCTCGTTTCTGCTCGCCCGAATCGCGCCAAAGAAGCACACGTCCTTTGGCAACCATCTACTCCGAAATCCTCTTGGTTAGAATGTACAACTCAGCGCTTGAATAGCGACCTGCTTGTTACTCGCTATGATTCCGGTGAACTCTGGTCGGTTGACATACGTACTGGAAACGCTACCTTGGTCTACCAGTTCCCAAATTCGTCGGCCGTAACCTTGGGAATAGTCGAGCACCTGGACGATGTGTTTGCTGTCAATGCCGGCCAGGTTCGGGCTGATGGTATTCCAATACCAGGCACATGCTCGGTCTGGAGTATCGAACTGGCGAACTGGCGAACGACAAGCAGAACACCACCAACAGCCAGGCTCATCTCCGAAGTTCCAAACGCCGGATTCCTCAATGGAATTAACGTCCTGAACCAAGCCACCAACCGCAGACCCCGAAGCTGAGGTCCAACGGCCAAAACATTTCTGCTCCTCGCGGATGCGGCCAATGGCGTCATTTACGGCATCGGTATGAACGTGCATCAGAAAACTCTCATTATTCTATTCCAACCCAAGTCTCTTGTCAGCCCTACTTGACAAGCAAATAACATCAGGATTGAACGGCATCGAGCTTCCCTCGGTGCCGGACCCAAAACATGTATACTTTACCACGGGTTTTCGCGCCATGTTCTACCGAATCAATCTGTCATCTGATGGCACTCAAATCCCCCAAGATGCAAAACCAGAGCTTCTCCTCTCTGGTTTTGAGTACCTTGACGACTTCATTCTAGAGGCGGACGGTACAGCCTACTTAACGACATCTATTTCAAATCAGGTCGTGAAGCTCTTCCGGACGGGAAGCAAACCATGATTGCCGAGGGAGACATTGTGGCACAATCAACGGATGCTGTGCTAGTGTACAACGGAGATCGTAAGGTTTTGTTCGTTATACCTTGGTCGCGGGCGGGAAATGACTCCACCCTAATACCGATCACAGAGATTGTCCTAGCGTCTCAGCATACCGTAGCATTTGACATGCTGGGGCTGCCGATCCTATGTACTGTAGTCCACCAGCAGTTGATGGGATAACAGGCTTGAGACATGTAAGTTTACTCACTTATTCCTCAAATTAAGCGCCAATTAGTCGAGGTTCTTTCAGGTGCAATAGAACATCTATATCTCCACGCTGTCAACTAAAGCCCCTCTGACAGATAAGCTTTATTCATTGGCTAGGGCTACGAGATCTTGCAAACCCCCTCTACTAAAGCTTCGCTGATCGATGATTCAAACACCCATCCCCTAAATTAACCCGTAGCATTCTTGGCGGCCTGAAGAATCCAAGGTTTAGACACTAATGCTGTTTATGCGAGGAGAAGTATCACCTTATTGCCGGCTGTCGAGTAGAGTTATCCGTACGGAGAAAAACTGGTGTTCGTACGGCTACGCCACAGCCTATGTGCGGGCCCAGCCACAGCATCAGCCTGGGCGCCCCACACCACCCGCACCCGCGCCCGTACCGCGTGCACGCCGACCGAAGGACAATGTCTTCAAACCGGGCGCAAAGTTCGAGGAAAAGTCGCAGAAATACGCGGGTTACTTCAGAGTGCTTTTTAGCGGGCAAAGATACGTTTTCGGGCGGTTTAGGGTTAGTTAAAGGTTAGGGTTCGGGGTAAGTTACGGTCAGTGGTTAGAGGTTCGGGGAAGTGACATTCATTAGCTGAGGGCGGTTTGAGGGATGTGGTTAGAAGAGGGGGTTGTCAGTTTTTCTCCGTAGGATAACTCTACTCCCGGCTGTCAGATTTACATGCATATCAATCACGATTAGGCCATGATTAGTAACATAATGAGAAAGATTCATAACAGGTTTCTGAACGCAATCGCTTGGCATGAATAATTAAGAACATCTATTATTACTAATGTACTCGGCAAGAGGCTCATAAAGAGTTGCGTGTGCGGCATATTTGGCCTTGTCTCGTTTCCTGCTCCATCCAGCTGTACTTGCACTATCAACAACCCACGGTGAAATTCTTGTTACAATGCTCATTCTTATCGCCGGTATCACGGGAATGTGTGGTCAGCCCTGCGCTCAAGTCGCGCTGGATTGGGGCCATCAAGTTCGCGGAATGGGACGGAATGCGGGTAAACTGGCCGATAAAATCGCGTGTCGCCTTGAGAGCTTCGTGTCAGTTGCCCATTACTACGACCTGGAGGGTCTCCGTAATGCTGTAGCGGGAGTCGACGCAGTGATATGTGCGTACAACAACAGTCCTGAGCTTGTGGTCGGGGCGCAGCTTGCGTTACTGTATGCCGCGGAAAAGGCTGGTGTGAAAGTAAGTTCAGAAAGTAATTCGAATCGGGCGGCTTGCTAAACCATGGCCTAGATATTTCACGCTGCCTCTTGGAATTACGATTGGACAAGGCTTCAACTCGGCGAACATGAGAACTACGATGCTTACATTGCGTTCAAACGGACTGTTGAGATTTCATCAACCATCAGGCCTTTGTACGGCTTTACTGGGGGGATAATCGAATATCCATGGTATCGCGACCGGACACGGAATGCCATCAACGTGGAGGAGGGTACTGTCTCGTACTTTGGCACCGGCACTGAAGAGCACATTTGGATTACCTTGAACGATCTGGCTGCGTATACCATCTGTGCTATCTCCGACCAACAAGCTACTGCAGGCGGGCTTTATTACGTTGAGAGCTTCCGTGCAACCTTTCCTGACCTAGGAAGAGTTTACGGTGAAGCACGTGGCGTTGAGATACGCGAAATCTGTGTCGGCGATACGCAGACAGCGCGACAACTGCTTCAGCAAGCACGCGAAAGCACTGCTACTTATGATTGGAATAAGTACATCGGCCTCGCATACGTAACTGCTTTCAATGAAGGCAAATTAGGCTGGAAAGAATCTATTGATAGCAAGCGGTGGGCAGGTCGAGTCCATCAAACTGACTGGCGAAGCTGGCTGGCACAGCATCAGGACGCCTAGGCAGTCTCTTAGCTAATTCCACCGGTTGCTTGCAAGATCAATCAAATTTTCTATTTTTGATTTCCTAGACACGCTTTCGTTCGTGTACGCGTGATTTCAATCCTAGCTATTGAGTTTGTTTGGGCTGCACACAATTCCAGACACAATCAATGCCCCTATCTGTCCGCATCAGTACCACTGATAGGCTCGGTACAAGTGATATCTCGGGGAACGCCAGTGACTGAATTTGCGAAAATAGAGTCAAACTAACCAACATTCTGGGCGCTGAAGATAATGACATTCAAGACATGTCTGCTGGTGGTAAGCACGCTGATCCGAAGGTCCAAGTTGGCTTAAGCGTATTTGTCACAAGGAGAATGCTTGCATGAACATTGTTGCAATCCCTAACGTGTGTTGGTAAGGCATGTAATATCATAATGTGTGTAGCTTGATACAATTGGAATAATACGGTATAGTGGTTCAGTAAATCAACTGATGTAGCTGAGCTCAACAGTCATGCTCAAGTAAACGGTTACTCCCGTGGCATCGAATAGAAATCGCGAGGCGTGAATCGCCAACGTCCCTTGCGAGTGTTTAAGAATAACCACCGTAGTGCTACATGCTTAATCCATGGCATGGGGGGAAAGTTGTTGAATATACCACCCTCGTAGGTCATATCAATCGGTCACTCGCAAGGCGGCGGTGCGGTGTGGGAGCCATCAGAGCACAGTCTTGTCCAGGATCCAGCCAGCGGGTACTTAGGAGGCGTGGCCGTTGCGCCTGTCTCCAAGATCTACGATGCACTTGTTTCCCTTGGCGAGCTCCGAAAGCTCCTTGAAAGTTCAGGATCGGATTCCCCTCTCACGTTGGGTGTGTTGCCGTCCGCTGTGCTCGGAGTCAAGGCAACGTTTCCAGACTACGACGCCCCAGTCATTTCGCAGACGATGAAGACCCGAATCGAGCTTGCAAAGATCGGCCAGTTCTGCGACGCCGCCATCTCAGGTCTCACGAGCGATTTGGGCTTCGATGCTCTATCTAACTTCACTGCCGAGTCGGACACGATCTTGAAGCAATTTCAGGAGTTGAACGCTCCTGCTCAAGGTGACAGTGCTTCCAAGCCCCTGCTTCTGATTCTTGGAGCGGAGGATACTATTGTTTCGGAGGAGTCCGGTACTGCTTCATGGAAGGACTCTTGTGGGCACGGGAATATCATCCATTTGAGTGTATACCCGGGCCTAGATCACAGTGCTGTTTTGACGGCTGCGACGCCTGAGTGGCTCAGGTTCATCCAGGATCGCTTCGCTTCGAATCCGGTTCAGAATCAATGCATGAACGAGACTAAGATTCCGTTCGATCTTGACAACGCTCAGCGGCCGCTGGACACATACTAATGAGATTCCATCATGGGACGCTCAAGACCCATGCGGACATGGATAGATCTCTGATTCGTTACCAAGTACATCTTGAAAATATGGGGTGCCCGAACATTCAGTCACAGCCTTTAATGCACGATAAGAAGAGGCCAACTCTTAGCATGTCGACTAATGCGCATGTTTACTCTATACTTATTTCCTGTCACATAGGTATTCAAGGAAAACCTTGGCTAGTTGCAACACAATTACATTCATCCAATTGACTAGCCAGAGCTTATATCAAATTCGCCTTGTGATACTATTGCTCCATCCCCCTGCGGTCATCGAGATTTTGGCGTTCGTTCCTGCCGCATTGGGCAGTATAAACGCTGCGCTTCATGTGACTGATTTCATAGTGCATATGGAAGCGGACCCGAGGGATCTACATTTCCATTGCCGCCGTCGCGTCTTACCTGCGCAATAATGCATGAGACTGCAATGTCCGACTTCCTCCCCCAAGGCTGTTTATTGGCAGCCGCTGGGCGATCTTGGTCATCATGGCAGTGAGCCTGAATCCACCCCACATGGTAAGTACGCCATAATGAATCGGTGCTCAAAACGTACACACTCACCCTCAATTGGCTGACACCAGCTGCTTTTCGATTCTGCCTTGCTGACTTGAGGACACATCACAAGGACAAATTTGGGTTCTGAGGGACGTTTCCTTGCCACAGTTCAAGAAGGCAGATATCAGCTACTAACAGTTTGTCCAAATTCCATCCCAAACTCAGAGAGCACAAAGAGCGAAGGAGAATGTCTGTTTAATGCGTTTCAGAGATACTCAAACGTCCAATCACTCACAAAGACAATTCTATTGGTACTTATGCTCTGCTCACATTCAAACTTTGGCTGACTGTTTTGGCTCTAGGTTTCCTCAAGATTCAAAACACGGAGAAGAAAATCACCATGTCTCTTATCCCGATTGATGACTTTTCGGAGTGCGATATTTGCTCTGGCATCTGGAGCCGACTTGGTGATTTTTCCGACAACGCACGAAGTACATCAATAAATCTCGGCTCTTTTGAGGAGGCACTACGTTCCAATTGCAAAAGGCACAAACCCATTGTTGAGTGGTTCAAGCAGTTTTGCGAGAAACCAGGTCAAACTTTCCGCCCCTCGAAAACATCGAAGGACGTCGGCATTCATCGTCCTCGCCCAGGCGTTCTCGCTTTGACAGAATCCATCCAAAATCTCGGCCGTGGTGCCGAACTTTGCTTAATTAGAAAGGATTCTGTAAAGAACCATCCCGGTATCGCCCGCCTCCTGGACCCCAAATGGGTTAATTTGAGCGTCGTCAACCACTGGCTCGAGCAATGTGTCTCCTCTCACGGCGAAACATGCGAAAACCCGATGAAGATATGGCCATATCGTCCAGCCTGGGTCGTCGATACAAAGGCCAAATGTTTGGTACCAGGAGATAGTTGCGCCAGTTTTATTGCTTTGAGCTACAGATGGGGAAAGGCTCCCGGCTTGCACATTCAACCTGACACCATGTCAAATCTCCAGAGGCCCAACTCCCTTGACGATCCTGCTATCACCACCCAACTTGCGCCTATGGTGCGGCAAGCTATAGCCCTGACTTCTTCGGTCGGTCAGCGTTATCTCTGGGTTGATACACTTTGCATCGACCATTCTCGTATTGCCGAGAGCACAACACAACTTCAAAATATGGGGGCCATTTATGCGAATGCATCTCTGACCATCGTTGCCTTAGACCGGGATGCTGAAGATGGCTTTCCGGGCCTTAGAGACATCTCACAGGAAAAAGATCGAGATGACGAAGTTCCCATTCAATTTGGTAACGAGGAGTTCATTTTAGATAAGCTCAGCTACTTTGGTCTCACCTTATGGAGTATGTACCACGAGCGCGGTTGGACGTTTCAGGAGTTCAATATGTCTCCTAGACGACTCATTTTCAGCAAAGACTCATTGCATTGGATGTGTCAGTGCAGTGTGTGGGAAGAACATTTGCACCACGGGGTCGAAGCCGGGAAGTACCTGAATCCTCGCATGGGGGAAATCATGCGCGGCATGCCGAATATCAGGTCACTCAGCAATCTGATCGGCTACTACAACGACATGAAGTTATCCTACGATGAGGATTGTCTGCCCGGCATGACTGGATTACTTACTGTGTTCAGCCGCTGCTTCTCCGGGGGGTTTCTTTGTGGTATCCCTGAAATGTTTCTCGAAACCGCACTTAGCTGGCAACCTACCTGGTATCACACCGACCTCCGACGACGAGTACATTCCGACCGCTTCGATACAAGCCAACTACATCCATGTCTTCTCCCATCCTGGTCGTGGATCGGGTGGGAAGGACTTGTTGATATTGGAAGCTTGGAAGCTGGTCCGGCGAATCCGAGTACTTGGAATATCAGGGAGACGATCCCAATCACCACATGGTATGCTCGCGGCTCTCCAAAGACGGGGCAGAAGCGCAAGATCAAAGCTACCTGGTACGAGAATCGGGAGCTTTACAAAGATTTCGAAAGGCCCCTTCCGCCCGGGTGGACTCGACACGTAATCCCAAAGGTAACCAATCCGGGATACGGGGATGAACGGGACGGAAATGTTCTGCTGTATCCGGATGGATGCGATGAATCTACCTTCCGGCACCGCAACATGACTGAGCATCGCGAGGAACACGACTGGCACTGGCCGTTTCCAGTGCCAGACATAGACGAATCTACACAGCCGTATATGCCAGAACAGACGCCATACCTTTGTTGCGACACTCGCCGTGCCTTTGTCTTTGCTTTTCAGGCAGGTGACGACAACGACATCACAAGATACAAGTCAGGTCAATATAACAAAGTTGAGCTTTACAACAAGAAGCAAGTTGTTGTTGGGAGCCTTCATTTACACAACAAGCAGCAATTGGAACATTTTCCGCCGCCAGAGTCCGATTGGGCTATGGCGAAAGAGATCGAGTTGATTGCTATTTGTCGGGCACGCGGGTACAAGCAGACCTTTGATGATAGTATCGGCTGTTACACGGCTCCGTTCACTTCTTGGGATGTATACAGCGTACTGTGGGTGGAGTGGATCGATGGCGTCGCTCACCGTCTTGCGTGTGGCGAAGTCGACAAGACAGCATGGGAGGAGTTGGCTTTGGAAGACGTCTCCCTCATTCTAGGGTGATTGAAAAAAAAACGGTCAACATGCTGTCAACAATGAGTACATCAAATTTGAAGATTCTCTGAATGAGAGCACTTCTCTAGGAGAGGTACTCTTTGTTGATTCTGCCAACTGCTTCTATGATATAACTTTAGCCTATAGTTACGTTTCTGTTCAATAAGTAGTTAGCTAAAACCACTCTCGTTTTATCCCGTCGGATATGCTTTCAAGCTTCGTGTGGTGGCATCGGTCTCCCTGTACTTCAGTGATTAACCAAGTGACCCTATTCCATTGGCTTTGCTTGAACACTGGACGCTGAACATTTCTCTCGGTCGGCGGGATATAGCAGTCGCCAAAAGGAAGCCTCAATTGAACATTGTATTGAACTGTAGTTATGATTGTTTAGACCAATCACCATAACCGACATGATGTGGTCTTTCCAAACCAGCTTTAGCTAATAACGGAGCAATTCATGCATGAATTTCCCGGCATGTGACCGCAAGAGATCGACGAAAGTTTGCGATCAGGCCAACTGAGGTATGGTCACAGCATCATTCCCAAACTCAGAAGCTGCTTGGACCGAACCTCGTCCCACAATTCGCCGTCTAGCTAGAAGAAAGAAGCCTGGTGAGGGGCTGGCCCTTGATACGGACGCTGGTGCGAGCTCCGCCGGGGTTGGTGATGCGGACGTTGTTGATGGAGGGGTTGCTGAAGTTGATCTTGGTAGTTCCTCCGGAGCGGACGGCGTTGGTGCGAGCGCCAAAGTTGAGAGAGATCTGCGGGTTCGCAGTCGCACTGCGGCCCGCGCCAACGCCGAGGGGGTAGGGCTGGCGGTAGGTGAAGGTTCCCTGGGCGAAACCGGGGCCCTCGGTCGCGACGCGGCCGAAACCAGACAGAGATGCCTCGCCTTCGAGCTCAATGGCCCCCTCGCCGGCGCGGGTGACGGTGGTGCCGACGTTGGTGATGGAGCCCTCGATCACGGCGGTCTCAGCAGCCTCGGCACCGGTAAGGGCTGCGTCGACGGAGACCTCGACTGTCGCGACGACTGCCTCGGCCTCTAGAATCTCGATGGTGAACTCGATGAGAGCAAGCGCGCCGAGGATCAACTGAGCCTGGGCGGCGGCGATGAAGAGCGCGAGAGGGAGAAGGAAGGACTTCATTTTGGCGAGTTGATTGAAGAGGTAAAGAGTGTGGGGTTAACGAGTGTATGCTTCGAGCTCTAAAGAGTGAATGTTGTCGTTGTGAGGGATGAGAGATGGAAAGACGTGACAGCCGTTGAGCTTATCTTATATGTTCATCCTATCACCAAGTCGGTCGCCATCAGCCGCATTTCCCAACTCCGCGCGGGATTCTCGGATACCGGAGAATGAATGCGAAGGAAAACTTCGCTTTCGCGAGCCTCACACATATCAGAAAACTTTCTTTTGATTCAAATGGTCCATTTGGGACATGACTATCCCAGGCAGCAAGATCTGCGCCCCTAATCCAGGAATTGCCAGATGAACATATAAACTCAATCTTGGAGTTCGTGAACAGTTATTCTTGCCGGGATCCCGATTTTCAGATTTCGATCAGTCGCCTGATGTTCCCAAAGAGGAAAGCTTACGGCGTTCCAGAAGAACCTTCACTATTAGCTTGTATAACGGATACGAGAATGAGACTACGTGTTGATGATATTCTGCCCTCGGAGACCGACCGTATAGTGCCAAGTTTATGCTTTTCAGGTCAAACGGCAAGTCTCGTAGATCGGATCAAATAATGGATGAACATGTAAACTCTATTCCAAAGCTTACCGGTGCGCCCGTTCGGTTTTTCAGTGAATGGTCTCATGGTGGGGGCGGACACGGACAAGTAACAGAAGTTACTAAGGCAGGGAAATCCACGCCAAATACTTTACGACTCATGGCATGGGAACTTCCGAAAGGAATTCCAGCCGTACTGTTACGAAAATTTCACAGGTGTCGGGTTGGTTTGTACCATGGAAAAATAAATAACCATTCGGTGATGTTGCTGCCAACACCTCTAATGCGCCATACAGCAGGCAGTCATCTGGTTACGGGGGGGGCGCTCGATTGCGGCTCTCTAGAGTTGAAGTTGGCAGCGTGACAGCGAGAGAAAGCTTAATTGATCTGTCATGGTTGTACGATTCATGTGAGCCCAATTGCTTATCCACTTTACTCTTCTAGAAATAAGCTAGTCACGAACTGGCCGATGTCAATTATATTACCATTGTCAGCCTCAAGACTTCTCGGTATCCCACAATGGAGGCAGTGTCTTCGGAAATCGGACCAATGTGCGAAGCTGTGTGGGCTATGTCCCGAGCCTCACGGTTCATCACTCTCAATGGCTGTTTCTGATTAGCAGCCATGAGAGTATAAGAACCAGTTCCCAGCCCTACCAACCGTGAATCTGATCAGCAGCACATCCAGCATCTATCTGTCTTGACATTCATCCTTGAGTTACTTACACACTCATTTTTCGACTTGTCCATCATAATGCAATTCTCTTTCATTGCCGCAACTCTCCTCGCCGTCCTTGCTCCGGCTTGGGCTTATGAGGTTGCCACAGACAAGTGCTGCCAGGCCCAGCTTGAAGCCTGCCATAAGCAGGGCGCCAACGCTTGCATGTGGACCAACGCCGCCATCTGCGTCGACAACCCGAACAACCGCGTCCCGGTTGACGACACCTGCTTGAAGGCATGCCCTGACGCCACCGTCGAGAACCCCAATGGTTTCCTCTACAAGTTCCAGAAGCACGGGTATGCCGAAATACATCTTCATGTCCAAATGTCATGACTTAACTAACCGTTCTCCTAGTGCTCCCGCCGGTGATTGCGTCTGCGGCAACTTGAACCCCAACCTGAGCAAGTACTGCTACGGCGGTTAAATCACTATCTTCATGAAATGTTGATGAAATATCTGTTGGATGAAGTTTTAAAAATCATGTGCATACTCTATTTTTCTGTATGGTTTAGTGTAACAATAACTTTACGAAAGCGTTGCGCCTATTTTTGATGGACGCTTGTGTTGTGATACCTTCCTAGTTGCTGATTTCCTAAAACCGTGTCGCTTGCATAGTACACCCAACACCTTCACGGTACAACACTGCATTAGAATTGAATATATATTGAACTTGTCGTCACACACCCACAACCATTTGCCTTTGATGTTATGTTTGGCAGTTTGGTCCACTCTAGAGAAACTACCAAACAGCCAAGCATAATATTAAAGGTAAACGTTGATACATAGATCACGATAGTTTCCAGTAAAAGTCATCATCAATAAGTTGAGCAAGCTGTTGTTCTCCAAGAACAGCCCACAGCCTCCACATCTATACTCTCTACTCATTACAAAGGAACTCGAGCCAAATCATACTCTCCTTCTCATTACTGATTTTCGTTTCTGGCAGCTGAACTAAGCGCCACACACTCAACGGCCTCGCATCCCGAGGTGCTCACGACACATGAGACACCAAATCGAAGTCATGCCCATCACACCGTAGACCCGAACAATATGCGCTAGTCAACGTTCCTATAGTCTATGCTGATGAAATCTTCGATGTCAACGTCCTTAGAGGAGGCGAACCATGCAGCGACTAAGGCCTTTCTGACTGAATGATAGGAGGCGGGGAGCTGCTAGGCCGAACGGAGCTGGAAGAGGATGATGAAGAAGATGAAGTGACCGGCGGCGAGCTAGAGGGCGAGGAGCTAGGTGAGGAAGAGCTCGACGAAGACGTGGTTGGGACCGGACTGGATGAAGATGAAGTAACCGGCGGCGAGCTTGAAGGCGAAGAGCTGGATGGCGAAGAGCTGGATGGCGAAGAGCTGGAAGGCGAAGAGGTTGATGAGGTGGTGGGCGCAGAGCTGGAGGGTGAAGAACTCGATGGGGGTGAGCTTGACGAGGTGGCAGGAGCAGAGCTTGATGGGGAGCTGGTTGGAGCAGAGCTCGATGATGGGGGACTGAGCTGAGACGAGCTCGAAGGCACCGGACTGCTTGATGTCGTAGAGCTACTCACGGAGAATGGACTGGAGATTGGTGCTGTGATAGTAGGAGATGCCGGAGGGGAAGAAGAGGCGCTTGTAAGAGCACTTCCAGAAGAGGCAGGAGGAGATGAGCTGACTGCAATGGAGGAGCTACCGATACCAGAAGAGACAACGCTTGACGAGGAAGCTGACGCGACAGGGGGGCTCGAAGTGAGAGAGCTGGATCCCACAGACACAGGGCTTGAGGAGCTTGTAGCCAGAGGACTGCTTGCTATAGAGGAGCTCGGAATCGATACTGGACGGGTGCTGGAGCCTGAGCTGCTACTGCTGCTTGGGACACTGCTCGGGGCTATGCCGCCGACAATAACCAGGATGAACTCTCCCACAAGCTGGCCAGTGGCGGCCGGGCTCGAGACCGGGCTAGACGGCACATTTGTTGACGGGACACTTGTTGACGGCACAGATATGGCCGAGCTGCTAGATCCACGGCTAGTTGGTGATGAACTGCCTGAAGACACTGAAATAGGCAAGGAGCTGACTCCAGACGGGGTAATAGATGCAGACCCTGAGCTCGACAAGGAGCTGACTCCAGACGGTGTGACAGATGCAGACCCTGATGAAGAGGCGGGGGTCGATCCGGACGCAACAGGGCTGGACTGGGCGCTGCTTCCTGACAGGCTACCAGACGTCGTCGAAATACTGACAGATGCAGTGCTAGCTCCAGACGTCGTCACGGAGATGGTGCTCGCAGTGGTTGATGAGGGTGCACTATTCGCCAACGGAAGACTTGCGATGCTGGAGGACGACAATGTGACAGTCGCAGGAGTGATGGCCACCTGCGATGCCGGAATGACTGCAAACAAGGGAATGGCGTTGACCGCGCTTTGGCGTTTGCCAAGACGAAGACCACGACGACGCTTGTTGCCAGCCGCCGCACATTGTTCCGCGGGGATGAGAGGAAGATCCCTGATGACACTACCACAGTAGCAGGTGCCCTGGTCGGCACCAGTATTAGTGAGCCCCTTGGTCGCGCAGTAGACGGCGCAAGTGGCCGCACTATAGCTTGCAGATTCGGTGAGCGTGTTCCCACTGAATGGTGACTCCCCAGGTGTGACGCCTCTGCAGCCTTGAGACTGCACAACGAACGGAGCAGTGGACCTCTCACCGGTGACAGGGTCGATGACTTCAAAGTTCACGATCAAAGCTTCGCCAGGTTGAATTTTGAAGACTTCCTCAAATGCCACGGGCTCGGAGCTGAGTACAGAGATTGAAACAGATGCAGAAGATGATGGGCTCGCCGAGGTGAGCGTTCCACTTGATGAAGGCATTGTCGGACTTGCTGGTGGGGTCGAGCTGGGCGGCGCGTCTGCCGACGAAGAGGGCACGGGTGTCGGGCTCTGGAAAGATTCGGGCTCTGGCGAAGGAGACGGAGAGGGAGATTCCGAGGGGCTGGGAGACGGGCTTGGTGAAGTCTCTGGTGATGGACTGGGAACCGGTGAAGGACTCGGAGACGGCGAGGGGCTGAGAGAAGTTTCCGGTGTCGAAGACGAGCTGGGCGATGTCGAGGGCGATGGCGATGGCGAGGGCGAGGGCGAGGGCGAAGGCGATGGCGATGACGATGGCGAAGGCGAGGGCGAGGGAGAAGATTCCGGTGTCGGAGACGCGCTGGGCGATGGCGAAGGTGAGGGCGACGGGGAAGGCGAGGGAGATGGGGTTGAGCTTGGCACTGCCACCTCTGATGTACCGCTGCTCGACGTCGGTTGAACAGGAAGTAATGAAGACGACGTTGACTGGACAGGGGCTTCAGTGGAAGAACTCGTAGTTGGTTGGACAGGATTCTCCGTCGAAGACGTCGAAATAGGAGTGGGCTGGACTGGGACTTCCGTAGAAGTAGACGAAGTCGCAGGCTGGACTGGAGTTTCCGTAGAAGAAGTCGATGTTTGCTGCGCAGGAGGCTCGGAGGTTGTGGTGCTCGTTGAAGGCGCCACCGAGGGCTCCGTAGAGGAAGTTGAAGTCGGTTGCACGGGAGGCTCAGTCGAAGTGCTTGTGGGCGACTGAACGGGGACTTCGGACGTGGAGGAGCTCGTCGACTCGACCGTAGACTCGGAACTTGACGTAGAAGGCGTGAGCGGTGGCGCTGCAGAAGAGCTGGTGGTAGACTGCACAGGGGACTCAGATGTAGTGGTACTCGTTGATGCCACCGGGGGCTCCGATGTTGTGCTGCTTGTGGTTGACTCAATAATTGGCTCGGAACTTGTGCTACTTGTCGCTGGCTCTTCCGAGGAAGTGCTGGATGTGTTCGGCCCAGCGGCGGATGTGCTGCTGGTCGTCTCTTCCGCAGTAGAAGAGGCACTTGTTGTTGGTTCACCTGAAGACTCGGTAGAGCTGCTGCTCGTCGTTGGCTCAGTAGATGATTCAGGAGATGTGGTGCTGGTTGTCGCAATCGGCGGTTCGGAAGAAGTGGAAGTTGAAGTCGGCTCGGCGGAAGTCTCGGTGGACGATGCCGTTGTTGACGCGGCCTGTGATGAACTGGTTGACTCGACCTCCGATGTGCTGGTAGACTCAGCTTCCGTGGAGCTGGTAGATTCGACCTCCGTTGACGAGCTGCTAGGCTCAGTTGAAGTCGCCGTAGTGCTAGTCTCCGCGGGTGTGGCTGTAGTACTAGCTTCAGTGGACGTCTCAGTCGTGCTAATCTCGGTAGATGTCCCAATGGCGCTGGTACTCGATGTAGCTTCGGTTGATGTAGCTTCTGTCGATGTAGTTTCTGTTGATGTAGCTTCCGTCGAACTTGCCTCAGTCGATGTAGCCTCAGTTGATGTAGCCTCGGTTGATGTAGCCTCGGTTGAGCTTGGCTCATCTGTGCTACTTGCTACCGTAGAGGTCGCCGTTGTGCTCGCTTCCTCTGTAGAGCTGGTTGCTTCGGTCGATGTGCTGATGACGTCTTCTTCAGTGCTGGTCGCCTCGCTGGAAGTCTCCGTGCTCGAAGTTTCAGTCGTGCTTGTCACTCCAGCTGAGGTTTCTGTTGTACTGGCATCCTCGGTTGTGCTAGTGGCCTCCGTGGAAGTTTCCGTTATACTGGCATCCTCGGTTGTGCTAGTGGCCTCAGTGGATGTCTCAGTGGTGCTAGACGGTTCCTCGGTTGAACTGGAATCCGTGGAAGTAGCTTCGTCCGTAGCTGTGGATGTACTACTGTCAGTAGTGGCGACCTCATCCGGGTCAGCGGTTGTACTGGCCTCATCGGTGGTTGTACTGGCGGTATCAGTGGTTGTGCTGGCCTCATCAGTCGTGGTACTGGCCTCGTCCGTAGCTGTCGTAGTGTTGTCCGTGTCCGTGGTAGTCGCTTCATCAGTGGTTGTAGCCTCGTCGGTCGCAGTAGTTGTGCTATCTGTGGCAGTAGCATCATCCGTAGTCGTAGCGGTAGAATCAGTTGCAGAGGTGTCATCTGCCGTGGAGGTCTCAGTTGCCGTGGATGTGGTGCTGGTGGCTGTGACAGGATCGTGTTGCAAAATGTAATCGTAGCCGGCAGCACCACAGTAGTCGTCCCCAGTGCCCGCACAATTCGAAGGGTCGCAAAAGCTTATGTCGATGCTGTCTCCTGTGACGGTGTTTCCGCAGGTACAAGTTGTTCTCTGTCGTGCATAGTAAGGAAAGGGTGCGCAAAATTCTGCACAGCTCGTCTGGTTGACGTCCGGGCCGGTTCGTGGTTGATAGTTTGGGTCTCCATTACCGCCGATAGCGACCATGTCGTAACAACCTGGAAAGACTTGGTCTGCATAGGCAACTGTCGACAAAGACAAGACGGCCAAAACGGCCGCTTTCCTTAGCCAATTCATGTTGAAGCTAGATCTATGAGAGACAGCTCCAACGCCAAACAGCAAGGTTCTATCGACAGTTCGACGATGATGGGGGCTAAGAGCCACGAGCTTCTCCTAATAGAGAAGTAGGTCAAAGTCAAAAGAGACAACCAAACGTCCTCCTAGTCACCAAAGATGAACTGCGGAAAGAGCCGGTCGGAGTTAGAGTTTCGTCTGTGTGTCCAGAAACGCAAAGGGGGGAAGGTAGAGAGAAGAGGTAAGGCTCGTCCTTTTTCTTCTTCCCTTCCATTTTTGCCAAGACCAACGCTCGTGGGGACAACAAGAAACGCGGCATCGCCATTCTCATCCCTCCACCGCCGCATCGACGGTCTCACCCAGATCCCAGGAACCAGGAATGCGAAGAATGAGAATGCCCAGTGCCAGGCATGGAGGGCGAAACGCCCTTGAGCGCCAATCATTCCACCCCCTTGCTCGTCCTCTCCCTGTGGCCAGTGTGTGAGTGTCTCGCTTGTCTTTCCCCCCATCTCGGCCGGTCGACTGCCGCTTCGGAGTTGATACGAAAAGAGAAAATGGAGAGAAGAGTCTCATGGAGTGTACTCCGTTGGCCGCGCTGGGCTTTCCTTCGTCAGGTTAGGATCGTTGATTGTGGCTTGCGCTTTCCATAGAACTCGCGGGAATGCCTCGCGCCCCTGTATTTTCCACTGCATGCTTGGGCAATCAAGGGAATGAAACCCACGTGAGGCTGGAAGCTAAGCTGAGCCGAGGGAGGAATGATGGTAGGGCCGTTGTCCCAGGGATGCGGTGTAAACGGTACAAGCAGCTGATAAGCCGCATTAGCTGGCTCTGTTTCGGCACTCGGAAAAAATGAAGCACGAATAATTGCTGGCCAACATCGTACTGAGGAGGCCAGACAAACAATTCTAGAGCTCTTCCGCTCCGCTCGTGTCGCACGGAGGGCGGGACTCACTGCATTGGCTATGGCATGTTGTTCTATTAGGGAAAGCTTATCCCGCGCCGTAGAAAGGCTTAATTGAGTTCGGATCCGCAGGTTGATCGTCGTGGTGATGCTTGTGAATTCCTGTCCTTGTCTGTTTCTGGTCGATACGCATGCCGGTGGGTTGCATGATAGCATATGGTTTAACGAGTGACAGCTATAGTTGAATGACGTGCTAAGGTTAATGAGAATAAGGGGCTGCCCGTGTTGGCAGAAGACCGTCGGGCTGGGTCGGCCGCATGGCATCTGTTCGGAGCGGCCGCTCAAATAGACTGTCGACCCACCTACTCAGTGTCGCGCTTGAATCAGTAAAGCAGGAAATCTTCCTGCGAAATACTACGATCCCGCAATCGTCGCCTCAGCTTGTGTTCCAGGCCTTCAGTATCCCTCGCGTTATCTGCATAGTTTCCCGCCTCACTTCCCCAATGCATGAGCCCCTCAACGTAGCATGTTCCTACCATAGTCATCCCGTGTTTCTGCGGTCGTTTTCGCAAGACATGAGGCATCAGACCGCCCTCGAGGACGCAGAGGGCGTCTCCTGGGTGCATCTTTTCTGGCCCCAAGCCAAGCTGGCCTTTGGAGGTCAGGAAAAGTCGACTGCCGCTGGCCACAGCTCTGATTGTTTCTTCCACCCAGCTTTCGTCTTCCGGCCATACCCTCGTCGATTTGACATCCCCATTCTCGGTTCTGACATTGAAATCGCTGGTAAATGTGAAGAGCGGAAGGCTTAGATCGTCGTCGCTGGCGGGATTCTGTGCTTGAGACGAGATCGTCCAAAAGAGTGGTGGATCGCCCGCAGCCTCGCTGATGCGCAAGCTGCGTTCTACACCCTCCTGGAGGTGATTGTTCCAGACCAAGATATCGTTTTCGCTATAGGATTCCTTGCGCGGCCAGTAGTTCGCAAAGGGTGACGCCAGAAAACGGACCAACATCCAGTAAGACAACTGCTGCTCTTCTGCGCTGCTAAGCCAACGTGGTGATTTATAGATCCCGGGAACTCCTTGGAGTCTCGCCGAAAAGCAAAGAATACGCGAAATGATCGCCACGAAGGGCTTGCGATATTGAAGCTGACTTTCATTCTTGAAAAGCCGGCATATTGTGATGATTTGATAGAGGATCTCCTCGAGATTGGCGAGATCGCTCGCCAAAGGATCAGTGGCGCCTAGAATCTCTCCACACGGCGCCCCGGAGACGCTCAAAACAAATGACTGTTGTGGTTCGGGATGTACTGGAGCTACCTGAGCGGGTAGGTGATGAACTGGCTGCCAGTCGGCACCAACAACAAGGTCCCTGTCAGCCAAGCGTCGAAAATGCTGCTGTGGTAAGACATAGATATCTTCTGAGCCGTCCTGCTTGTAGTGTAAGAACCTAGCACGACTGGCGTTAAACATCTGGAAAAGGTCTCCGTGGAGGCGCACGCGATGTTGATTCCAGCCGGGAACCGCATAGTCCGATGACCAGTCAGGGACCCATGAAGGCACATCGTTCCGGGTCTTCGCAAGGAGGTCAAATGTTGTAACCCACAGAAGACCAGTTTGCTTGATGATTCCGTAGGCCACGCGTGCAAAGAGCGTGTGTACGCTGACGTTGTAGTCAGTACTAATGATTGAGACTGCTTTCTTCACGAAGTCAAGCGCAAGTCGAAGCAGGGCGAATATCTTGTCGCGGGGTTCGGATGATCGCCTGTTCCGGCAATTTCTTAGTAACCAGAGGAGCGGACTGTTGTTTCCGAAGGGTAGTGATCTGAATGATCTCATCATTCGTAGGTAGTCGATTGCATTGGCCTTTTCGGCCAAGAAGGACAACACTCTGGCCAACCCAGTGGAATCCGGTACAGCAGAGCTCAAAACAGCGTTGACGCCGTGTCCAATGAATCTGAACGGCATCGAAACGCGACCATACATGATGGTTAGCTCTCTAGCAACACAGGCTTCCTGAATAATCCACATGCGATTCCACCAGTCGCTGACGGCGAAAAGCCGGATTCTCTCCAACATGATTCGCAGACGCCGTTCATCAGTCGGTTTTCCCTCGTCAAACATCCACTGCTGTGCTTGCGTCGAGCTCGCATGCAGTGGCGCCGAAATAAAACTGTAAAGACATAGCATCTCCTCATGCTCTGTTAACGACCCTAACGTCGATTTCTGCCAAAGACTGATCGATATCTCGATAAGAGGCAAGTCCGTCCGTTTGCCAGTGAAAAGCACCGGATCGGCCAGTCCAAGTCTTGCGAAACGGCGAGGGTAATCTTGACGACTGCGATCCAAGCCATCGCCCACGTAGGCAATAACCTCGGTGGCGGAACTGAAGATGTCGTGCATTAATCCGACTTGGTGGCTCTTTTCGACAGCATCTTCCTGGTTGATGCACACGGAATCCACCCAGATGACGATGGATTCTATGGTTCGGCGAATGGCCCTCAGCGCCCGGTCGAGGTTGAAGGTGATGAAGTGGACATGACTGTTGACAATAATCTTGTTCGACCTTCGGCTGCTACCCCAAGCGTAGGACAACGCAACATACTTTTCATTTCGGTCAGCAACATACAATTCGGCAGCGAGGTCTTCGAGCCACTCGCCAGGCAGAAGACGAAGCAGACGGATCTCCTGGCCGCGTAGCCCTTCGAGGTATGTGGTGGCTGACATGGCAAGTCTGACGCGAGTGCTTGATGCAAAACCTGCTTCCTGTTGTCTGTGGTGAGAGGTAGGCAGGGATTGAACGATGAAAATGAGCTTGAGAGAGATTGTTAGCTTGGATTGTCAGCCTGCAGTTGAACATGTTGCCGATTGGTAGGATGGATGCATAGCAATGGTTGGCTGCCGCAAGGAACGACGAGGGGCGCAGGTGGACACCTCAGTCGATGTCGCCCATTTCCTAGGGAGAGTCTTTGCAGAAAAATACTGCCACTCGGCAGATGTTCACAGCCAACATCATCCCGAGAACCCGCATCGTTGTGAGAAGAACTGTGCCTTTAGAGCTCAACTGTTGATGAAAGGAGAAGACGGTTGGTGGGGCTGCAGCTGGCAGGGGCGACCGGGGACGCAGTACCCCTCCTAAATTACATAATCGCCATATGAGGTAAGGCAACAACACACACTGGTCCGTGCCCGGCGGGCATCACGAAAGGCTGCAATAATTTTTTGGGAGCTCCAGAAGCTTCTTGGGCCACGAACCGCCGAACCTCAGCCTCCCCACGACGACACACGAACCTCGCCAAACCTAACGACACGCTCCTTTTGGCCTTGTACTCGTCGTCACACAAATAAACCACCAAGATGTCGTTCGGAGGCCAGACCCCGACCATTATCGTCCTGAAAGAGGGTGAGTTTACCCCACCGCCCCTTTCCCGCCCGCGGGCCACGATTGACGAGTCTCTTGCGCAGGAACCGATACCTCTCAGGGCAAGGGTCAGATTATCTCCAACATCAACGCATGCTTGGCTGTCCAGGCCACCATCAAGTCTACTCTCGGTCCCTATGGCGGCGATCTGTTGATGGTCGACGCCAACGGCAAACAGACCATCACCAACGATGGTGCTACTGTCATGAAGGTCAGGAAGAACGATGCGGGCAGCATGATGGAGGTTGGATTGCTGACACGCGAATAGCTCCTGGACATTGTCCACCCCGCAGCTCGAATCCTCGTCGACATTGCGAGATCACAAGATGCCGAAGTCGGTGACGGCACAACATCCGTCGTCGTCCTGGCCGGAGAGATCCTCAAGGAGATCAAGGAGCACGTCGAGCAGGGCGTCAGCTCCCAGGTCATTATCAAGGGTCTGAGAAGAGCGTCCATGATGGCGGTCAACAAGGTCAAGGAGATCGCGATCGATACCAACGAGGGCAACAGGAGGGAAACACTCAGCAAGCTGGCCGCCACCGCCATGACGAGCAAGCTGATTAAGCGCAACACAGAATTCTTCACAAAGAGTACGTCGAAACCATCACCCTCCGATAGTGCCAGTTCTAACGTATCGCAGTGGTTGTCGACGCCGTCCTTTCCCTCGACCAAGACGATCTTAACGAGAAGTTGATCGGCGTCAAGAAGATTCCCGGCGGTTCCCTCACCGACTCCCTCTTCGTCAACGGTGTCGCCTTCAAGAAGACCTTCTCCTACGCCGGTTTCGAGCAACAACCCAAGTCTTTCCAGAAGCCCAAGATTGTGTGCCTGAACGTCGAGTTGGAGCTCAAGGCCGAGAAGGACAACGCCGAGGTGCGCGTCGAGCAGGTGTCGGATTACCAGGCCGTCGTCGATGCGGAGTGGCAGATTATCTACAGAAAGTTGGAGGCTATCTACAAGACCGGTGCCAAGGTCGTTCTCAGCAAGCTGCCCATTGGTGACTTGGCTACCCAGTTCTTCGCCGACCGCGACGTCTTCTGCGCTGGCCGTGTTGCCGCCCAGGATATGGAGCGCGTGGTCCAGGCTACCGGCGCAACTGTTCAGTCAACGTGCTCTGACATCCTGGCCGAGCACCTCGGTACCTGCGGCAGCTTCGAGGAGCGCCAGATTGGTGGCGAGCGCTTCAACTTCTTCGAGGGCTGCCCCGAGGCCAAGACCTGCACACTCATGCTGCGTGGCGGTGCTGAGCAGTTCATCGCCGAGGTCGAGCGTTCGCTGCACGACGCCATCATGATCGTCAAGCGCGCCATCAAGAACCACACCATTGTCGGTGGTGGTGGTGCCACCGAGATGGAGGTCTCCGCTTACCTCCACCGCTTCGCCGACAAGAACATCCCCCACAAGCAACAAGCCATCATCAAGAGCTTCGCCAAGGCTCTCGAGATCATCCCCCGCCAGCTCTGCGACAACGCCGGCTTCGATGCGACCGACATCCTCAACAAGCTGCGCGTGGAGCACCGCAAGGGCAACACATGGTCTGGTGTCGACTTCAACAACGAGGGCGTCACCGACATGATGGAGCGCTTCGTCTGGGAGCCCGCGCTGGTCAAGATCAACGCCATCCAGGCCGCCACCGAGGCCAGTTGCCTCATCCTCGGCGTCGACGAGACCATCCGCAACGAGGAGAGCGCCGCGCCTCAGGCACCCGGCCAGGCCCTGCCCCCTGGTGCCGCCCAGCGCGCCCTGAGAGGTAGAGGCCGGGGCATGCCTCGCCGGTAAGGTGGTTATGACTGGAAAATGAATGGAAAAGGAAAAATTCAAAAGGATTTGATGAATGGCGTCTGTATGATACCTAGAATTGCCCCACGGGGGTTTTGGCTTCCAGAAGTCTGAATAGACTGGGTCATTTGTCGTCTGCCATGAGCGGTCCACGTGCTATCATCAAGTAGCAGCATGATTCCATGTGATTTTCACACGAATGCATGCAAGTCATATAAGAGTGGCAGAGAGAACGCCATGTCGCGAGTGATTCTGCAAATGTCAACTTGCGGTGACCACAAGTTGACATCAGGCGGCTGCATGATTAGTACCGCGTAGCTGGGTATGAACCCAGGCCAGCCTACTCAGAACTCCGAATGAATTATCGAAAAACCAGACTGAGAAAACAGCATGCAAATGGTGCTACTACAAACAGAGGGCATTCTCAGTTCTAGATCTTGAATAGTTGATCAACTTTCAGCAGCTTGGGGGGGTAGTCCACAATGCACTGAAAGGCCCGCAAATACCAAAGCTGTACGTACCTTTCAGCAACAGGCAAAACGACACCTCCGGGGGCGGGTTAAAATGCTGTGAAGGCTGCAGGTGAGGTTACACAAGACTGGACGGCATGCAGGTCCAGTCCCAGCCCGCGCGAAGAGAACCCGGAGCCAATAATAAGTCTGCACACAGCTGATGACACCTGTCACTTTTGATAACTACCTACACAGGGAACTGCTCATCCTGCGTGTGGCCAGGCTGAAGTGGGTTGCGTTTCTTTGGTTCAGTACCAAGTAATGAAACTGTCATGTTGCGCTTCTCCTACCACTCTTTTGACAGGGGTTGACAGAGCCTCACAATGTCAGCAAGTTAACAACATAGAGAAGACATATATTAGTGTACACGCATGAGACACCTGAGACACATCTGCACACCGCTGAAATACTGGTTGAATTCAAAACAGTAGAGATTGTTGAATGTCGGAATTCCGTCAGGAGATGGGCTCGTTCGGTGTCGTCCATGAGACGGGGGCGGGTATTTGGCCCTGATGCTGTGCCTTGGCGTTCTTTCTCGAGACGACGGGATGTATGAGAAGTAGGAAGTCTATTCGTCTTGGAATGCTATGCCTGCCAAGTATGCAAAAGGGTCTAATAAAATGCAAAAGAAAACACCTCCGCCACGTCTGCCCACGAACGCCAAAAATTGTCAACTCGCCTCACCCCGCAGAGTACCCCATTCCATACATCTCCTTGTCCCGTCCCTTGTCTCCCATAGGCTCATCAACGTCGTCCTCCTCCTCGTCGCCTTGCTCTATCAGCATATCCAAGTCTCGATCCACAGCGGCTGCTTCCTCTGGCGTCTCTTCGGCCTCCGTGGCATTGAGCAAAGCTTGAAAGTCTGTGTGGTGTGGATGGTAATGATTATACGGATCATGCGACGTCGGCGGCGGTCCAATGATCTGCGGGTCGATAGGCTGGTACGATTCGTCTTGTAACATGGGATTATGATGCGGATGTCGAGGTAAAGGTGAATCAGAGGGGTCGCGGAGGGTATGTGACGGTGGTATTGACGCGACCTCCGCATACGGCGACGACCGCGGCGGGGAGAGAGGCGGTAGATGGTGCGGCTGCAGAGCCAGAACGCGACCAGCGGCGCTGACGCTCGCGGCAGACGGCATCGGTGTAGATGAAGAATCAGATAAAGTAGGATTCGAAAGAGAATTGTTAGTCATGGGCACGGCGCTCTTGTTCGAGGCAGCCGCAGCAGCAGCAGCCGCCGCCGCCGCCCTGCCCCTCGCGCCCCCATTACCCCCCGGCGCCGGCATCTTCCCCAGCTCCTTGCACTCCGCGCAGTTCCTGATCACGTCACTAACGGTCTCCTTGATGCGGCTCCAGTGGTACTTCTCGGCAATGGTGGCCGTCGTCTTGTTGATGCCGCCGTGGCTGGCGACGTGGACCTCGCGGGCGATCTCGTACTGGCGGCGCGGGTCCGGGACGACCTCCTTGTCCTTGAGCATGAGCCGGTCGCCGTCCAGCAGCTTATAGTGCGTCGCGGCGCTGCGGAGCCTGCTTTTCTCGGCGCGGTCAGCCCCCGCCGGGTACTTGCCGTACTTGAGGTAGAACTTGATCTTGTCGAAACGCTCTTCACTCACGAGTTCCTCGGATTCGCCGGGGACGAGGTCGCGCCCGTAGATGATGGCGTCGATGAGCACGCCCGGGTGCGACTTGAGGTTGCCGCAGCCCTTGACGCGGCCGATGCGCTTGAAGCCGAGGGCGTCCCAGATCTTGCACGACGCGACGTTGGTCTCGTAGACGAGGTTAAAGACGGAGTAGGTGTAGCCCAGCTTCGGCGCCCAGTCGATGTAGCACTCGCCCATGAGGCGGCCCACGCCGCGGTTGCGCGAGGCGTCGGTGACGAGGAAGCCGGCGTTGCACACGTGCGAGCTGCGCCCAGGGTAGTTGGGCTTGATGTAGAAGCTGCCGAGGCACTCGCGGGACCAGTCCATGTCCTCGGCGAGGTCGGCGCGGTCGACGTTGCCGAGGAGCATGATGGCGCCAAAGTTCTGGAACCAGTAGGCTCCGAACTTATCGGCGGGCATTCGGTCGGTCATCGGGTAGGTGTCGCCGCCCTCGATTTCCTTGTTGAGCTGGTCGCTGAGGTAGCGGACGAGGGATTGCGGAACCTCATGTTGGGACGCGAAGGGGATGATGGTGGCGACGGTTTGGCGGTCCCGGAGGGTCACTTGACGGGGGACGATGTCGGCCGGCAGTTCGGGCTTGTTCGGGTCCGGATACGGCGGGGCGCCGGAGACGCGGTAGATTGTGGGGCTGGCCGGGTCGTCCAGCATAGCCGGCATCTTTGCGACGGATCGGCTCCGCAGAGGGGGCCTGTGCTGTCCCTTCTAGCGGTGTAAGACGAAGAGGGGTAGCCCGTGTTGGGGGTTTGGCAGTCCGTCGGTTGCAACAAGTCGCTCGCTGTACGGGACTTGATGCTAAAACCTCACAAGCGATAGGGAGTTAGTCAACATTTCACATGTGTAGCAAAGCAGGCAGCAGCAGTTGAAGCAGACGGTAAGTAGCCTCAGGCGCGTTGCGTTTCCTCTTCTCTCCCTCGGACCCCTCTCTTGATGTCGCCAAGCAAGATGCAGATTGATTGGTAAGGAAAGGCTGCAAAAAATAAAGCCTACCGAGTTTTTGGAGAATACTTTTTGGGCAATGTCCTCCTCTTCCTCCTGTTGGTCGAGGACGACCTCCCTCCCCGACTGGCTGCGGGAATTCCCAAACGACCGACCTCGGCTCAGACGCCGATTTGGCGAAGCCGACAAATGTAGAGGAGAGTCTGCAGCGACTGCGCTTCCGACGCGAATGCGGTCGTTGTGGTGGCTTGAAGGGGTGGCCGCTGCACTTGATTATGATGCGCGCGTGCGTCCTGCTTTGCCCAGTTTCAGCCGATGACACCACAGCTACCATGCACGAATGCCTGACCTTGGCGGGGTGTGGAAAACGGAGCTGGCTGGCTGCCCTGGGCTTGTGCGTGCTGAAATGTTCGTTTGATGATGGTTTTCGACCTTGGGGAGGGGAAATGCGCAGGCGCGAAGTTTTCAACATGGGGGGCGGGGCCTGAATTATGTAAGCTGACAAGCAAGCCACAAGAGTCTCTGAACTGGGATGCCAAGCCACATGTGGCTAGGCTTCTCAGGGTGATCCTAAGTGAGGCTATTCCCAGGTTAGCACGCACAGCTCCTTTTCCCATCTAACGACAAGGCTCTTCAATTACATGCTTAATCATGTATATTGAACTCATAATCATCAATTCAAACATACTTAAAAGTTTTTTCTCCTGAGTTCCAGCCAGGAGGCACCCTGAGATAACCGTCAACGATGATGCCGTGAGCTGGGTTGAAAGCTTCCGACTTCAAACGCCAGAGAATAACCATGGCGTTCTGGATTCAAGATCACATGTGCCAAGTCTTCCAACGAGAGTTCTTACCTCCCTATCTTGGGGTCTGACAGACTCGGCCGGAATGTGTTTGAAAGTGCAATACCATGACAAGCTGAACAGGCGAGGCGCCAAGTGTGTAACCACACGAAAACTGTATTCAGCCATTCTCTCGGGCTCAGATCACCTTCAGCTATATCTTGGTATTAGCTGAAGAGATGCGCTCTGCTATATGAAGTGCCCGTCTGTCTTGCCTTTTTAGTTACGCACCCCTCGATTAAGCTCACAAATTATCGTATCAAACTAATACAAATTTACTCCTTCAACCGTTTATCTCCAACATGATTCAAGTGCCCTCAGCATCTCAAACGTCGGAGGTCATGTCGTCCGGCACGACAAACTTCGTGTACAAACCCCTGAGCCAGGATGAGATTCGAGTATTGCTCCTCCTCCCCGGTGACCTTGGCAGCCCTCTCCGTGCTCAGATCACACACCGGCATTTCGATCCGTCAGTCTCTCCTCCAGAGTATGAAGCAATGTCCTATGTCTGGGGAGAGTTGGGAGAAACAGCCACTTTGCACATCTTGAACGACGATTTGAATGATATCGGCACGATCCAGATCCGACAGAATCTAGCGTCGGCTCTCAGGCATATCCGTCATCACACCAATGATGGACACATGTTACAAACCCGTAGTCTCTGGTGCGATGCGGTATGCATCAATCAGAGCAACCTCACTGAGCGGGCAGCTCAGGTACAGCGTATGGGCGCCATCTACCGCCACGCTCAGTGAGTCATCTTCTGGCTTAGCGCTGAAGACGAAGATGTGCCTCGAGCGATGAACATCCTAAGAAACTTCGCCCCAGACTTTGACCGACAACTCACTGTAGCCGACTGGCGGTCCTTGATCACCCTCCTCGCCGATGCCTGGTTCAGGAGGGTGTGGATTCGCCAAGAAATCTGGCTAGCCAACAACTCAGCTCTCTTCCAGAGCGGCGACTGCGAGCTCAGCTGGGATGGGTTCTGCAACGGCTTGAAGCACCTGCGAAGTTACACCGTGGACCACCAACCTGCCCTTGACGAAGAGTCGCAGGGCTACTTTCGAGAGATCCTGGAAACAGCCTGCGATGTGGCTCTCTCCAAGCCCAGAGTCAACTCTTTCCTGTACATGCTCGTCATGACTCGGCATTGCGAGTGCGAGGACGAACGAGACAGGGTGTATGGTCTCCTCGGCCTACAGGACTTGCTCCAAATCCACCCAGACTACTCCGAGACGAAGAGCGCCAGGGATGTCTACTTCGACTATACGGAGAACTATCTGAGGACAGTTTCGATCGCCAACATCCTCTCCATGTGCGAGATGGCGGATAACCCGAGCTGGGTACCCGACCTCACGGTCCCGGTGCCTTCGCTTGGTGTCTACGGCATCGGCTCAGCCAGCAGCAATACCAAGACAGTGTACAGCATCTCAGCTGATCGAAAGCTGACAATTGCGGTGACGCACGTTGGGACTATTGCTCGAAAGACGTCTTCGATGCCCCCTCGACCCAGCCTGAAGGATGTGCAAAGAACATTTGCGTCCTGGGTGGCTGATTCATTCCCACAGGGTATCCAAGCTCACGATGGCGCTACAGTCGACGACATGGTTGCCACCATTGCGCGTGGCCATCTCAAGGAGGACATTGCCTTCGACGACACCAGCTTGGAACTCTGGCAGCTGAGGGACATCCTCCTCAGCGGTGTTCCGGGGCATTCGCCACAACAGTCATCAGACCTCGAAGTTGCTTCCCGGTCTCGCGCTGTGGACCTGTTATCCAAGAGCATGACAGGTATGCAGCTTGCGAGAACCACATCAGGCAAGTTCGCCCTAGGTACCGGCGCAGCTCGCCAGGGTGACGAGATCTTCGTGGTTCTGGGGTGCAACATGCCCATCATCATGAGGCCTGTCGGCAATTCGAAGTACAGGATTGTCGGGGCATGTTTTATGCACAGTCTTATGCGCTTTGAGGGGCTTCTCGGACCGCTGCCAGAGGGGTGGAAGATGATCTACAAGACCTTCAGCAGACCGGTCTTCGTCCACCCCAGCGGCATGATCACGATCAATGATCCGCAGCTAGAAGAGCTGCCTGATGGTTGGGATCAGAAGTCAGAACAAACGGGGAGGCTGCTGTGGAGATATGGCGGGGAGGGCGATTGGGAGTGGTTTGATCCGAGAATGGCGCCCGACCGTCTGAGGGCTCGAGGGTCAAGGCTCGTAGACTTGACGATTGTCTAATTGTTTCTTAAACAAAGACGTGTATATATAGGACAAAGGAACTTGAAACCCCTTTTGACTCTCGAATGACAGGGCTGAACCGTCTGCATGCTGGTAATAGAATACCCGCCTTCATGACAGAAAGGTTGATTCTGTACAGAATGCCGAGGTTTTCGCAGCCTTGTCTGGTAATGACTTATATCATCAAAACTTTCTACGGATTACAGAGCCAAGAGATGATTTGATACTGAAGAGTCTTAGTAGATATGATAAGACTAATTTCTAGCCTCCCAATCTCCAACGGCCTGCGCAAAGCGGTCACTCTCTCCTTTGACGGGAAATGCGGCCTATAAGACGATGCCTTTGCACTTTTTGTGTGAACTCTGCCGGAAACAATGTGATCTTTGTTGTTCGGCTCTTTGTTGGAGGTGGCTGAAACCCTATCCGCCAAAGTCGAACATATCTTAAGGCATTCTTCGTCGTATCATGCTCATACCCACCAGTCGATCTCAGTTGCATGCCATCTATAACACTGGCTGTTGCTCGCTTATACATAATTGATAAGTTTCAAACAGCAGAGCAAACGAGATGGGACTGGCCACTAACCCGAGGCTGATCTGGAGATAATGATAAGACCGTGGAAGATCTCATCAGTCGTATGCCTTCATCGGTCGTCCATAAACCAGCAGATCATCGAATAACTTACCTGCTCTCACCAAGTATTGCGTTTGCCCGGGATAGCATTGCGAGGGAATCATGGCCCTTTTATGCGAATGCTTGACAAGTATCCAAAAAAACTAGTCTGTCCAAATTACAGCATCACGAATGCGGACTAATGGCCACAATCACTTGTCACGTCCTCTAAATTTCCCGTACACGCAGCAGCTGCATGAGCTCTGCTGTGGAGATATGCGAGCGTATAAATATATGTTCTTTTGGCCGCAATCGCTCTCCTTCGGCAATAAATTCCGCTGGTAGCAGCTGAACAGCGATGTCGCGGGCTCCGTGTGGGCAGTAGGCGTTGGTGGCCTCAAGATTTACAAGACAGCACATTCTGAAAAGCGTATCAAATGACAGAAGTATCGTCAACTTCTTCCGTCATCCATCAATTTTCCCATCGGCAACGTATTCCTTCTTGTTTACACAGACGGCGTTCGTAGACTGGCTGTGGTGTTTGTTACAACTCCAAGGGGTTCGTGGAAGGGTGACACAGGATCTTTCATTCAAGACTTTATCGAATGGCTCAACAAACTAATCAATCGGCTTGTCATCTAAACACCGATCAACTTATTTTCCTGCTGAGTCCATCCCCGATGCTTGGGTTTCCCGATATTATACCTTGTCAGATCCAAAGATTCCTCACTTTTTCCCGAGCAAGCGGGGCATTTCGCCTTCTTAACGCATGGCTGATGCCTGACCTCCCCAAGACTTTTAGGCTGAAAGGAAGACAACACCATATAAACAGACGTTTCATTCAAGTAAGTCTTGTGCTTGTGCAATGGCACAGTGGCAGAAGTCCAAGCGTCCAACGCCCTGACTGGAACCTAGGTAGGCGGAAGTATTACCAGCGACGTCGTGCTCCAACCACGTATCACGAGGACGCTTGAGGATTTTATCCCTGCCTGACCGGCAGCTTCTCTGACGGCTATGTATTTCATGCTGTATACGAGCGGCAGATCAGTTCATATTCTCATCCACTACGTAAGCTGGCTGCCTATTTGCGCCTCCTTTAGAGTAGGCAATGGTTAAACAGCGTCAGGACTCAGAGACCATCAAGGAATTGATCAATCCCGGATTGTGAACCCAGATCATTTGCTTCATCAGTCTAGAAGATCTTCAGCACATCACTTATAAACATCCATTACCCATACTGCGAGAAGCTCATGAGACTTTGTGAGGTTCTCGACAGATCTACTCTTCGAGAGGATATAAAGGACAACACAGGATATCAAGAGTACTCTCAAAACAACCGCGCAATGTCATGGATACTGCCTAAAGTGATCACTTGGCACCGAGCTCTGAAAATGCCCCCGTGCCGGAAACCGAGCAGAACCGAGGTCAGATCCGCATCAGTGAGCAATGCCGGTAACTAGCCAGGGGGGCAGCTACCGTCCAGCTAGCTCTAGGGTCGTTCGTCACTTATCCTAAGTCATTTGAGACAGAACACTATTCTAGAGAAGATCAAAAGCCCCTGAAATCCGACTCCTTTCGGGGCCCAAAACAACAGAAGTCATGCTCCCGCGTCGATACTACTTCCAGAGTTCAAACCATGCCTGCTCATAGGGTTTGGCACAGACATGGAAGGATTGGTTGCTGTCTTTGGGTGTCTCCAGTGCAAAGAACAGAATTTCTTGTATATTCACAGAGCCCGGACATCAATCGCAGCTCTGGACTCACTTTCTCAAGCCGGCTTCTCCACGCCACGGACTCACGCCTTGAAACCCTCGGAAGCAGAAAACCATAAGCTGAGGCTTTGAATGAAGAATCATTTTTCAAATCGCTCTATAAAATAGACTGGCAAAGCTTCACAAAGCTCGTCAAGATAGTCGCCTAAAACCCGCCAGGGCCCAATCCGATGCTTCAGATGGTGACTCAGCATAAAGCCCACCCTATCGGCTTGATCAAGAAAGGCTGTCTAACAGTAATCTTGTCTTCCACAGTGCCTGCGGTGACTAGCAGTCACCGGTCTTCTCGTATGAGACAGGGATATACGGAAGCCAAACAAGATGTCGAGCATGGTTTTAGCGCGATCGCCACAGCTGAGACTTGGCTTCAGGATGCGAAAGTTCGTTGAACACGGTCCCCTTGGACATTGAAGCCGGGAAACCACACCTTCCGTATTGTGTGGCCTTTGGGAAACAGTAGCGGCCCGCCAAAGACTACATACATATACCTCGTGGGCCATCGTAAGACGCAACAGGTGACAACTCCTGACAGGTCTCCTATAAAACGACATGTAACCGGCGGAATGTGTCGACTTCTCATAACAGAAAATGCTCGGTAGAGCGCCGAGTCGCGAAAGAGAAAGGTTTCTGTGGACACCCTTGGCCGCGGATCCAGTGCCGAACAAAGATATTGCCGCCCTGGCCGGAGAATCCAGAGGTAATGTACTTTCGTGTCCGTCGAAACCATATTCTGAAAGGAATCCCCCAAAAGAAATACAGGATGACAGGATGAGAAGCCAGGCAGGCCATCTTGTATACACACGCCTTCTACGAAGACGATGCTTCGCTTCGATATGGCATGTGGACGGTGACATCCTTGGTTTCAAAGCATGTCGAGAGGGAAAGACTATTAAGTTTGGCCCCCCATGAAGAGACCGAGACAAGCAAGTATATATACTAGGAGCAATGGTCGATCCAAATACCCAACGGCCTTATGTCGGTGGTAGACCCTGGTGATGCTTCAGACGAACACGAGGAGAAACGAACTGCTTCATTTTGTCGCAGAAACCCTGGTGACAGTCCTCAGAAACCACAGAAAAGCACCAATTCAGAGCAAGAAACCCTTCAACGGGCAATTCTACTAATATACACACTCATACATTTGCTTTTCTCCCGTATGCTCTCACTCCTGCTCCAACAGCGCCTTCCTCAATTGCTCGTTCAACGCCCCCTCCGCCATCCTGTCCGCGTCAACCGCCTCCTCAATCTCGCTCTCGAGCGCCTCGTCCCCGAACATGGCCTGCTCCCGCTGCGCCTCCACCATCTTCTTCAACGTCACCGCCCCATCGCCACCAGCAGCTCCGGCAGCTCCGGCAGCACCGCCAGCGCCGGCACCAGGGGCCGCCGCGTCGCTGCTGTTCGCGACGTACACGCCCGCCTTCTGCTGCTTCACCACCTCCTTCTCGTACGCCTTCCTCGCGTCCTTGATGTACTTCATCACCGGCGTCGGAACCTCCCACGAGATCGTGCCGTTGTTCGCAGCCTCGAGGCGGCGCTTCTGGCCCTGCTGGCCCGCGCGGCCGAGCACGCCTGCGATGACGGCGACGGAGCGGTAGCTGCCACATTCAGTCAGCATCATTCCCGTCTTTGCCAAACAAACGAGATATTTGTGCCCTTACCTGTCATCGTTCGCCGGGATCGTGTACGTAACCCAGTCCGGGTTCGCGTTCGTGTCGATAATGCCCACCGTCGGGATATTCGCCAGCCCGCACTCGTACAGCATCGTGTAGTTCTCCACCGGGTTCAGCGACACCACCAGATCCGGCAGCAGCGGCCGCGCCGTGCGCTCGAACCGCTCGAACCCCTTCATCTTCTTGTCCTTGCCGTCCACCACCTTGATCTCCTTGCCGCGGTTGATCAGATCCCGGTTCGTCACGTTGCCCGGCGTCCACTTGGTGAACAAATGGCACCCGCCCGCCAGCTGCGCCGCCCGCGTCACAATCTCCATCTGCCCGTTGCGCGTGCCCACAAACAAAATCAGACCCCCGCGGTACGCCACCTCCTCCACCAGCCTCGCCGCCCGCCTCAAATGCGCCGCCGTGACCTCCAGACTAATCAGATGCACCCCCTGCCGCGCACCATAAATGTACCGCGCGTTCGCCGGGTTCCACAGCGAGGTGTGGTGGCCCATGTGCGTCTGGCTCGCCATCAGCAGCTCGAGCGTGACGTCGCGCAGGCTCGGCGGGTTCTTGATCAGCTCCGAGGGCACGTACGTGCGCCCGACCGACGAGCCGATGCCGTCCGTCGCCTTCTGCGCGGCCTTGAACTTCTTCCACTGCGAGGCTGTCGAGCGTAGCGGCTTGAGGGCCTCGCGGACGTGCTGCGGGTACCGGCCCTTGGAGGCTTCGCCGCCGGCGCGGAGCGCGGCGTGCGTGGTGAAGGCCTCGAGCTGCTCCGGGGTGAACTCGCCGACGAGGGACTCGGTTTGGATGCCGCGGCGGCATGTCGAGACGATGGGTGCCGCGAGGGCTTTCCGGCCTGCGGGGGAGACGGGGGTTAGTTTCTGGGTTCAATTGGGGCCTGCAAGAAGGCACATGAGAATGACATACCTTGCCGGGCGGCTATGCTCCTCACAATCATGGCTGAATGGGGCAGCGTGGTGGTTTGGGGTGGTTGCTGCGGTCCGTCCTGCGTAGGAACAATTTTTGGAGCTTTCGGGAAGCTGGACGGAAGTCTCCGCCGCAGGGTGGGATGACGGATTAGGTAAGCGCACAGGGATGCGGCCGACTGCAGTTCAACCAGGTTCACTCGACTCGTCACCGAAGCATATGATTTGACAATTCACGAGTTCGCGGGGATGAGAAATAATTTTGTCCAATCCAATGAGGTTTGCGGTGTATTAATTAACGTCGGGGTACTCAAGTCTAGAGACAATCATACTCGATACATATCTACAATGCATGCTCGCCAACGACCTTTCGTCAAGTCATGAATGGGATCCGCCCCTTCTATCTCTAGACATCCCTTACCTACTGGTAATGCGCGAAATGGTGAAGACTCCGACAATAACAACCGCCAACGTCACAATCGCACCGGGGAGCAGCAGCTCGTTGGGCACGCCCTGGATGACCTGCTCAGGCTCGTGCGCCGCGGCCCTATGGCGGCGTGATCTCCTCGAGCGAGGAATGTCGTCATCCTCATCCTCAGCATCATCGTCCTCGTCGTCGTATCTCCTCCTGTGGCGCAGGTCGGGGGTGGCGGAGATGGGGGGCGTTGGGAGGGCAATCGGCTCGACAGTCAGACCAGCACCGACGGGAGGCTTCTCGGGGTCGTGCACGAAAAGGTCGACCTTTTCTCTGCGACCCTGACGGGCGAGAAGAATAGACTCGAGAAGGTCGTTGTCTGTTGTGATGGAGACCTCGTCGCCCTCGTCGTCGAGGTAGCTGAGCGCGAAACCGCCAGAAATTCTGCCCTCATCAATGTCGGGGGCTCCGCCAATGGCATCCACCTCATGCCCGAGCTTGGAGATAACATTGGTTACCATGGCGCCGATGCCCTGAGAAGCAATGACCTGCAGGCGGTGCACGCGTCCAGACGGAGCCTTGAACTTGAAAGGGAAAGGCAGCTCAGCGGGAGACTGATGAATCGGGCTGTGGCCGGTCATTTCGGATTGAGGCGGGGAATCGACACCGACATGCGACGCCGAGTCGCCGGGAGCAACGCTGTCGCCGATGCGCTCACGGGTGAGGTCGGGAGACATGATGCGAGAACCAAGGTTCGTGTGGTGGGTGTGGCTACCCTCGCCGGACATCATGGATTCCGTGCCGTCATCGAGCGAAAGCCAGAACTTGTTCCACGCGGGTCCTTCACTGTCGGCGGTGGACATGGTGTTGATTTGCTCAAGTGTCGCATATGTCAGCTTGAGGACATCGACCATGCCGACGATCTCGCCGCCGTCGGAGGTCATGACGGGGAGGTTGAGGTAGTGGCCGTCTGCAACCTGTCAGTAACTGCGCAAACTTGAACTTGGCAGGGTTTGGGGATTTCTTACCGTGCATCTTGCGCAGAGCGGCCTGGATGCTCATGTCCATGGGAGCAAAGTCGGGATGAGGCGTCATAACACGGACGACACTGCAGGTGGCGGGGTCGAGACCGGGGGCAATGACACGAAGGACAACGTCCTTGCTGGTGAAGATACCGGTAATAGCTCCCTGGTCCTGGACAAGGACGGCCGTCGTGCGGTTCTCCTTCATCTGCTGAGCAGCCTCCTTGACCGAGGTGCGCACGCTGACGGTGGTCGGGGGACGTCCGTCGAGGACAGACTCGAGGGTCGGGCCAGACATCTTGTGGCGGAGAGCCTCGACGTACTGGATGATCTGCTGGGGCTGGCTAGTGCCGAGCTCGGACTGGACACCCTCGAGGGCGTCGTACAGCCTTCTCGAGGAGGAGTAGGCGCGCTCCAGCTTCTCCATGGCATCGTAGAAGCACTTGGTGATGTCGAGAATACCCGAAATATCCTGGTTCTCGTCCATGACGGGCAAGTGACGGAAACCCTTGCGGACCATGAGGTCGAGGGCGTCGGTGGCGCTGGTATCGGTGCGGGCGCAGAGGGGGTTCTTGGTCATGATCTCGGCGATGGTGATGTGGTTCGGCTTCTGGCCAGCGCCAACGACGCGGAAGGCGAGATCCTTGGCGGTGAAGATACCGGCGATGCGGTCGTCATCGTCGGTGACGAGCACGCAGTCCTCGCGCTTCGCGGCCATCAACTGAGCAGCCTCGGCGACGGTGGTTGCGGGCTTGATCTGGAGGGCAGGACTCGGCTTCAGGGCGAGGACGGTGCCGGGCGGGGCCTTGCGCGAGTGGCGGGCTCGGCTCGTGAGGTGCTTCTTCTTGGAGAGATCGCTCTCCATCTTCTTGCGGATGGCCTTGACGTAGTAGTCAGTATCCATTCTGTTTAGCAGCCTGGCTCGCTCGAGCTCCTGGTAGGTGAGGTTTCCCATTGCGTCTCTCTCTCTCCGATGTGCGCCTGTCCGGGGAGGTCGAGGCGAGGGGGCGGAGCGAGGCTCGACAATGACGGACATGGAGAGAGGAACGGCGGTGCAGGAGCAGGGAGGGCAGGAGTGTGTCTGGTTTTTGCTGTGCAGTGCAATGCTGTGCAATGCAATGCGCAAAAGATCTAGATATCACGTCCGGGGTAAGGGCTCAGTATTGGCAGGGTGTCGACTAACCTCATCTCTCTTGGACTGCTTTTGACGACTGGCACTGACACCCGCTCCACTGACTTCGCTCTGGGTAGGCTGGGTATCGAGGACGGGGCGCGGGATGCCAGAGGAGGCGGGATGCTGGGCGGCGGCGGCATGGCTCCCATGAGGAGCGGCAGAGCCGGAGGGGCTGTTGTTGAAGGGGATGCCTCCACGAGCCTGGCCGCGATTGGGCGTTCCTCTAAGGGTGTTGCCTGACATCGCATGAACTTGCTAGATTGCGAGCTGATGAGGGTTGATGCGCGGTCCCTATTTGTGTGTGTGCGTGGAGGGTGTGGGTGCCGAGGACAGCCGGAGTCGGGGTTTTATTTTTTTTCTCGGGTTTGGTGTTGGGGGGGTCGAAGGATGTGTTTTTTTTTGCTGTCACAGGTTTCGGTGGGCGGACGGCAGCAGCAGCAGCAGCAAGAGGAGGAGTAGGAGGAGGAGGAGGAGCAGAATGAGGGGAAGGGCTGAGAGAACAAAGACAAGGACGACAATGTCCAATCCGGTCTTGTCTGGTCGACAGGGTGGTGGTGGTTGAGGGAGAGGCAGGCGCAGGTAATTAATTAGGAGGTGCAAAGGCGAGGAAGAGGACCGATGGCCAAAAGCAGGAAGGGGCCACGATTTCTGGGAGGTCCAGTGTCGGTGCCGGTGCTCTGGCGCTGGTGTCCACTGAAGCAGACGCTGAGGTGCTGCACGCCCGTATGCAATCCAGTGGACTCGCTGATTGCACCCTGGTTGTCGCGGCGACCTGTCACTGGCCAGACAGCCGTGGAAATACCGTGCACGGGCCGCATTCGGCACCTGGCCACCTCGTCGTCCAATTCCGAGGCGTCGTTTCCCAAGACCGCCCCACACTGACGGTCCCTGAAGCTCCCGAGGCCGAGTCCTGTGACCGGAACAAATGCCTCCAACGACGGGACTCTACGGCACCTGGCCATGGGGCACCGGCAGCTTCATAGGCCTGGAGCGAGTCTTCTCTGCGTGAGGTGGGCGGCCATCGTGATAACACGGGTCTCTGAGGGCGTGTCGCCATGATCCAATTGACCCTGCAAAATAGCATCATCTCTTCCCATCGTCTCCAAATTCTCAAAACTCAATTGACGTTTCTTGACAGAGACGAAAAAAAAAAAGAGTTCATGCAAAACTTTTGTGGGAAAAACATATGCGCCCCCTCCCCGGGTCCCCTTGCATGAACCACGAACCAACCGAGCAGCGGTGAAATATCAGCCTGGGTTAAGACAGCAGAACCCTGTCCACGCGAAATGCATGTCATCTGATAATTGCACCCGTTTCCCTCTGCAAAGCCAACTCACAAAAACTCTGCCCTTCCTCTTCCGTCCACTCTTCGTCGCCGTATTAAAACACGCATCATCATCGGCCGACAACCTGCACCACCACTCCGCTCATGGCCCAACCAACGCCTGCCGTTCCCTTCCCCGGCCCCCAAATCTTCCCCAAGCAGACATCGCGGCCAAGGTGCAACCAACCCCAAGCCTGACCGACCCGGCGGGGCGGCTCTCGCTGGTCCCGTGTGAAGCTCGGCTGAGGGCCAATATCGCCTGACATACTCAGCCAACTCACCTGTCTAATTTGCCGCACACCTTGAATTCCGTGGATTATCGTCAGCTCACCGAGTTGCTAGTCATCGCCTGGTCGGATCATGACGCCCTCTCGCAACTAGTCTGCACAGATGTGATTGCTGTCCCGGCAGACTGGTCCTGATTGATGCTCATGCATTGCTGCTGCTGCTTCAGCAACAAGGCCTGCTGTATTGTCTCTGTCCAAAGCATCCGGGGGAAGAGCCATGTGCCTGCGGTTGGCCACACCTCGAATCGTAATACCCTGCATTCCAAACGCATCAGAGCTTCCTCTGCCTTTCGACGTTTTTCTTAGGTGTGCAGACACAAATAGCTAGATGCTCTTGGCTTATCCCGTCGAATCAGACGATGGCAGAAAACCAGGCTGGTTGATATCAAGCTCTCTGGCCGCCGGTCAGAGCGCGTCTTGCTATCGCCACTTGACAGGTGTAACAATACACATGGCAGGCTCATGCAGCAGCTGCCTTGCCGACACTAGGTACGGGGTGAACATCCTCCTGCAGAAGCGGGAGATAGAGGCATGCAGCTGTAGTATTTCCCCCCCGGAGCCAGTAGCCTCGGCGACCAATGCAGTCCGTACAGTGTTCTCGAAGCTTTGGCCGTGATCCTCCAATGGTGGCAGCCCAGCACTGCCATGGCATCGAGAAGCACGACGCTCATACTCGCCACTTCCGTACATACAGGATCTTGGGTGTTGGACAAACACTGAAAAGCAGGTCGAGTAATCGAGCCATGCAATGCTGAGGTTGGGATGCAAGCTTGACGACTACAAAACATCATGACAATCAGTGCTAGCATACGTGACGACACTGCCCACGACAAAACTTTTAGATTATGTTCATGTGGCAAGAGTTTACCGTATATCACTGCCATGGCAAGCACGTTCGTCGAAGCAGTACACTGGTGCAATAGTAAAAGTGAAGCTATTCCCAGCAGTGGGTATCCCACGTGGGAGCCCGGCAATGGGTGGTGCATCGCTTCGTGGGCAGACTGGCGCCACCACCAACCCGATGCCGAGCAATAATGCGTCCAACATATACCGTTGTTTCCGAAGCACGGTCTCAAGTGTTCACCTGGAGAATGCGCAGATGGCCTCGTACAGCATACCCGTCCTCGGGTGCGAGGGATGTAGCCGTACGCTGCAGAATTTGACAAACCACGAAACGAAAAAAAAAAACTTACATGTCCGTATCAAGCAAGGGACAGCAGATCAGTGGCCTCTTAATCCCGTCATGGACGGCACAGTCGGGCTGATGAGAGACAGCAAAGTGAAACAAGACTTTGTGATTGTGGCTGGACAAACGCACGACGGGCAGGTGGTGTGCGATGGTGCGGTTCCAGGCCGCTGGCCAGCGGTTTGGGCTGGTGAGACTGAAGGAGGTCCAAGATGGGATGGGATGGGCGTTCGCGCGTGTCCTCCACAGCTCCGGTTGCCGGGGTTGTGCGATCGGGGGATCGAATCGAGGCCCAGAGTGACGGAAGGGGAAGGACAACGAAGAGGAGGAGGAGGCACCAGGACGTGGAGCAGGAATAAGGCAAGGAGGAGGAGCACGGTCTTTTGATTCGATTGCGGAGAAGGATTGAAGGGCGACGGGGATGTGGTGTTTGGTCCACTTTGCTGACGGCACTGGGAGGGCAACGTGTCGGTGTAAGTCGGCTGTGTTGTTTCAATTGGTACCTTACGGACGGGTGTTTATTGTATCTGACGATGCTGGAGAGCACTTTGCATGAGGTGATGCATCAATCATCGAATACCTCAGCCAGGGTATCAGGATCATCTTCAAGAAGCCAGCCAGATGGTGCAACTTCCCTCATAACACTAGCACAAGCTAGCAGCAAGAAACATGTCGACAGCCAGAGAGAACCTTGGCCCAAGAGGCGGCGAACCTGGCTCGGCAAAAGGTGCATTGCAAGGAAGTGGACGTCAGCTCTGGAGAGTTGGAGAGGCATCCCTGGGTGTTTTAGAGGGATGACGAGCTACGTACCCTGGGACACTGGAGAGATCGATTGGTAAAACACCTGGTCGCAGGGCGGGAGCTACAGGCTGCGGCAGCTGCGGCAGGTCCCAACTGGTGCGCCGCGCTCATCCCGCCTCGACCTGTTGCCGTGGCGACGGCCGGCCCTCCATGTCAACAAAGCCCACCACGTCTTGGATACCCGCCCACCACCAAAAAGCCTGGTCTGGTTTCCGCAGATACAGCGCCCCTCCAACCAGAAGCCGCCTTTGCATCGCTTTGCTGGCACCCAGTCGTTGCCATCTATCTATCCTTACCGCTGCCTTCCTTACTATTTTTCGACTACTACTACTATTCCTACCCACCCAGATCACCTCCAAAGTGGAATCTTGAATCTCCTCCCCTCCTCCCGCCCCAAATCCACTACTGCAGGAAGACCATCCTCTACCTACCTCAACCTCTCCCGTCGTCCATCGCGACTGCATCAAACCACTTCTCCAAAACACCTTCACCGCCTGTCTACCAAGAAGCCAACACTTCTTGTGTATCCATCACAAATCACCTGTTGCCATTGACAAGTTTACCTTTGCCTAGGTAGCGAGCGCACGCGTGCAGCGTTCTCGTCCTTCTTACCTCGCCTGAACAAGGCGTACAGACCAGATTCTATCTGATTTTAACCGCGAAGTCGACCCCGACTGAGCACAACCAACTCTCCCCCTAGCCCGGCCAGCTGTGCTTGCGCTGCGTGAGGTAAGTCTTTTCTGTTCCCGTCACTGATGGTGACGATGATGGAGCACTTGTCCATGTCGATGCTGACACCCAACTTACACGCAGTTTCGGACCAAAAAGGTTCCTTCGACAACCTAACCAACCGACGACAATTATCCCATCCGGACTCGACTTGCGACACAATGCTGTCCAACACTCCGCCAACCAGCAGTCTTCATGCCCGTCACAGGCACCGACGCCAGAACTCGACACCGACGGCATTCGAAGCAGTGAAGATCCAGCCCTTGCCTAACAATGTCCAGCGCCAACGTGCCCTCGGCCACCGCCGGGGCCTCAGCCTGGATACTCGCAGACAAGTGATGTCTCCTAACGGAACAAGGCAGGACTTTGCGCAGGTAAGTATTACTAACAACACAGGACTAGCACAACAACCGCAGCATGTTCTGCGAGAAGCGCAGCAGCAACGCATACAAGCACGCCCGGGCCCCCGACAGCAAGCACACCTTCACCAACAACAACAGCACCAACAACACCAACTTCAGCACCAACAACACATGTTCGTGGCCGCCAACGACCATGAGAACTACCTCATGTCCCCCCATGGCACGCCGGCCGCCCAGCGTTTCGACGCCACATGCTTCGATTCCACCCCCATCCAGTTCGACCAGTATGGCAACCAGATGAACGGCATGATGGCCAAGAACCAGCAGGCCTACGGCGCCAGCATGGGAGGCAACAAGGACTTTGAGCTCTTTGGCTCTGACAGCGCCCTCTCGACGCCCTCCTTCATGAACTTCAGCGACGCTCCCAACACTCCCCAGGGCTGGATCTCTGAGGGAGAAACTGCCAGCACGAGGCGGTCGTCGCGGAGAATCAGCAACGGCATCATGGACAGGGTCAGCAAATTCGAGACCATGGGCATTGAGCAGATGTCAAGACCAATGACACCTCCTACTCAGAATGCAACAAGTACGTTCCTCGAACCATCGTCTGCGTACATTGACTTACAAGCCGCAGATTACTTTCCTCCTACTCCTATGGAGACGCCTCATGATCGGGCTATCAAGCACGAGCCAATGTCCGCCAGGCCAAGTCGCTTCGCCGACGGCTACGATGAGTCCATGGAGGAGACGCTGAAGCCCACGAGGAGGTCGAACCAGAGAACGCAGAACATCTTTGAGGAGCTGCGGAGACAGTCTGAGCAGACCTCCATGCCCGTCCCCCAGCAACCCACCCAGGTGACCGAGGCGGCCATGTACGAGCAGTCGATGCCCACCGCCGACTTCATGAACATGAACAACTTCAACAACGAGTTCATGAAGATCCAAGGCACGTACGACGGCATCACTGACGACTTCGCTGCCTCCGATCTCTCTGCGCAATCCACCCCTCACACTCCTCTCATGAACTTCCACGCGGCGTTCGACAACAGGCCCGATCTGAGGCATCCCAACATGGAGATTTCGTCCTCTTCCCCCACTTGTTCGTTCGACATGTCCCGCCGTACTTCCCCTCACCGCCGTACCGAGTCTCTTGCCAGCATTGCCAGCGCCGCCAGCATCGCGAGCATCAACATCGAGGAGACCAAGACCGACACCGGTGTCACAATCGAGGATATCGCAAACTATATCCAAGGCCCCGATCCTGGCGACGGCAAGTGGACCTGCGTGTACGAGGACTGCGGCAAGAAGTTCGGCCGCAAGGAAAACATCAAGTCCCACGTCCAAACCCATCTGAACGACCGCCAGTACCAGTGCCCTACCTGCAAGAAGTGCTTCGTCCGCCAGCACGACCTGAAGCGCCACGCCAAGATCCACACTGGCATCAAGCCCTACCCCTGCGAGTGCGGCAACAGCTTCGCCCGCCACGACGCCCTCACCCGCCATCGCCAGCGCGGCATGTGCATCGGAGCCTTCGACGGCATCGTCAAGAAGGTCGTCAAGCGCGGCCGTCCCCGCAAGCACCGCCCCGAGATGGACGAGCGCGTCAACAAGTCCGCCCGCACCAGAACCAAGAACAAGTCCACCACCTCCACCTCGTCGCAGTCCGGATACTCGGACAGCTCTGCAGTCAACTCCCCAGAGAACGACTTCAACATGATGGACGAGCAGTTCGAGATGGGCGGCATCAGCATCGAGCGGCCAGGCCTGGACATGCCTCTGCAAATCACAACCGTGTCTTCTGCGCCGATGCCCTCATCACCCCCCAGAATCCACAAGGAGTTGGACATTGAACCGTCACCCGCCGCCAGCAGCCACCACTCGGGGTATGTCTCTCCGGAAGCACTGATGGAGGCGCCAACGGCGTTGTCCCAGCAACCAGAATCCCCAGCCAAGAGCGAGTACAACACCCCGCCCGAGCTCTCCCAGTCATCCTCGCCCCCGCCCAACCAGTTCTTCGACGCCGAGCCCAATGCTTCCGGCTTTAGCGACGACTCGTTGCTCGCCGGTATGCGGGGCAACGCCGGCGTCGGTGTCGGCAACACCAGCATCTCCAGTCTGGGCCTGGACCCCGACGACGAGATGCTGATGAAGACCTTTTCGGGCGAGGAGGGTCTCGTGCAGTTTGACCGCGAGTCCAACATGCTCATGATGAACAAGTTTGACGAGTTCGACGACCCCGTCAACATGTTCACCAACGACGACGTCTTCTTTGGCAGCTCATGATAACAACACTCGTGTCTTTTTGGGGGTCTCTGGCGTAAATGATTTTCCATTTAGGAAAAGGGGTATCTTAACGACGTCACGGCTCATTTGTCTAATCACGGCGACCTCTGTACGTTATGTTACGCTTTGTGTGTTGGCTTCAAGCCTGCAGCACCACGCGCCCCGGATCAACGTAATGACAATAATCTCGCGATAACAACTCGCCGGGACGGATGTACTACTATTGGGGGTTAAAATAAAAGGGTTCGGCTTCTTCAGGGGTGGTAAATGGGGGGTTTATTGGGATTTCAACTTTTGGCGATTCCGGAAATGGCATTTTTCCTTTCTTAGGGATATTCGGTATTGATGGGGATTTTTTCTTTTCGGGAACAAATGGAGCTCGATCTAGTTCTGGCACGAGGCGAGCCTCAGCCGGCGATTTTGAGATTCATTTACTTGGTTAGGGACTTAGAACGATGGTTGGAAGTGGTATATGATGAATTGAAATTGAATTTCACTTACTTAGTCTTTGGGACTGAACAATTTCGAAAATGTGACTATTGATTTGTGTATCTGCATGTGTGTGAGTGAAACTTTTCGCTCGTGACTCACTGGCACATTCCACGCATAGAACAGGAATCGTCATCCAGTGTTCTGGAGCCGTGAACGTGACCTCCACGTCCTTTGCGTTGGTCGGTTGGCTGGGGAAAGGATGGGTGGGTGGGGGTGGGTTTCAGTTGTTGGAATGGCAGATGTCTGCAACAGATGTGGCGGTGCTTCTTTTTTGGATTCCAGTCGTTGGCTCGTTGGTACGACGCTGGAAGACGAGGAGACTGGGGGCTGGGAGGGAACGTTGATTGTTGTTGGGGAGGCCATCGAGATGGTGGGAGGTTTTGTCGAGTTGCCGAGTTTTGGGATATGGGGAAATGGGGTACGTCCGGCGGCTTTTCGGTGAACGGCGCACAAGAGAGAGGGTGGTATGTCTCTGCCTGGCCGGGCCGACGCCGGTGTTAGTGGGGCCGAATCCCCGGCACCGCCGTCGGCCTTGGAGAGGACAAGTGAGCGAAGTGTCCTCCATCCGAACTTTTCTCACTGGTCTGCACGGACGCCACTTTACAATTTAAATAGCAATGCATGACAAGGCGCCGCTTCGGACGTTGCGATGACTTGCGTGGTTCTGGCTGCGATTACGCGGATTCAGTGGGCGGGTGTGCGTTGAGTCAAGATGCGGATGATTCGTGCGGCTTCCACGAATCAGTTTTGGGGAGGAGTTTTGCGGAGCAGTCCGGTGCGGTGTTTTCGTCTCGTCTCATGTTTTTTTTGGCATGGGATGCGTGCGTACATCATACGAAGGAGAGCGTGGTTGTTGGATGTTGGATTTCTTGGGGGCGGGAAGGAGGAAGTGGGAAGGAGTTTGCCAAGGCGTGAGATTGCGAAAAGTTTATACTGGTGAAACTGTTCTGCAGTTCTTGGGCTTCTGAGGAGGTAGTATTGCAATAGCCAAGCAGCAGCAGCAGCAGCACTGTGATGCATTTGATGAAAAGTCTTCTCGCATTGTTGAAGGACAGAATGGAGCGGACTGAGTTCGTCGCCGACGATCGTCACGAGAGTGAGAAGGTTCTCCAAACAGCGCTCGGCGCCGCCGACGAGGCTGTCGCGTGATTGAAGAAATACCATCACGCGGCTCGAGCTCCTTCATGCATCATCAGCATCGCCCTGCCGTCGAAAACGTGGCTGGCCGATCGAGGAACGGTGCCGGTCTCGGCTGGACGCGCACGACGCCCGTGGCAGGTGACGGGCGCTGCTCTGCTCTGTCATCGGCCGTGTTCCGATGCGATGGCCAGCGACATCCGATCTTTTACGGAGAGGACGCGTTAGTTGGCTGAGCACTTTCTTGAATCTTCTGCCTGAAGACAGAGAAGGAGGAGGAGGGGTAGGAGGAGTCGGGCTTTTTCATCCCAACTTCGAACTCCAGACGACACAGGACAGAAGAGAAGATTGCTATATTTAACGTTGAGCGCTGGGCCTTTGTCGCCGATTGGTGGGCGAGGGTTGGTCTGAAACCGCAAGTGTCGCCTTGCAGCGGGATTCTAGAATTGTTGGTTGGGATGTGGTGAACTCTAAATTCCGGTTGGAGCAGCGACGGAGGTGTTGGTTGCTGTGTCCTTTTCCCTTGCCCCCCGGGGAGTTATTCCCCAAGGAGCCGTCCTCCCACACAGGAGCTTCCCTCCCTTGTCACGAGTCCGTACGATCCGACGAACCCGCAACCACTGATCACGCACGCCCTACGTCTTACGCCTGGCCCAGCCTTGAGACGGCAGAAAGCGCAGTGTGTGGGAGAGTGTGTTGTATGCAGGTACACACACGCCAAAAAAGGCACGCCACCGAAACCTGGTACAACCCAGCTCAAACCAGCGTACGCGTACCCGCATGGCTCTCCCGAGGGGTCATCTTACACAGTTACACGGCAGGCCGCCCGTCAGTCTCCCCTCACTCATCTGCGCGCGCAAGTTTGCGTGCGTGCCGTGGGGTGTAACCCGTGTAACCGCGTCGCCGCCTTCCGAAGATTGCACAGCCTCCCCGCTTGTCCCAAGAGATCGGGTTGATATTACGGCTGTTTGTAATAGCACGACTCGCAGGGGGCCGGGTTTTTCGTCGTTCGAGTATGGGGCATATAATAGCTTGCGAGATCCCTCGTTTCCGAGTGGGATGCGCTCCAGTCCTGTCCGTCATCAACCTTACGAGTCTCATCTTCAAGCTTTCATTTCGACACATTCGCTACGATACACCATTTGTAAAAAACAACGATACAAGACATAAAGACACCTTCATTACACAACTAGACACATTCCATCATGAAGTTCACACTCGTCACATTCATTGCCATCGTCGGCGCCGCGTCCGCCATCAGCGTCGACGCCGGCCTCGTCAAGAGACAGTGCATCGCCAACGGAGGTTCGTACACCCTCACTCTCACAACCTTCATTCATGAAACTAACATTTGTCCCGCAGGCCTCTGCTTTACCCGCATCGCCGACACAAAGAAGCCCTGCTGCGGCGGGCTCATCTGCAAGAACAAGCCGCAGCCAAACACCAACATCTGCGAGCCGGAGCCGAGCCCCTCGTCGACGGCCAAGCGCGCCCGCGAGGAGCTCCAGAAGAGGGCCGAGGCCCCGGCGGCCCCCCAGCCGCGGGGGATGCCTCAGATTCCCGACAACGAGCCGAGATGGGGTTAAGGCGTTGGAAGAGATGCCTCGCCCAGGAAGGGAGGAGGTTTCGCGGGGTGTAGAGGACGAAGAGGGACGACCGTTGTTTGCTTTCATGGTCTCGAAGGCCCTTTTTTCACGAGATTACGACTTTTTTTTGATTTGCATCCTCTTTGAGGCAACTGGGTTGCGCAGAGTTGATCTATAGACCTTTTGATACCATTACAACAAGCGTTGAATATGAACTTCTTTTCTTGTACAACACATGAGGAATCTCGCGGGGTGTTTGTCTACCTTCACGTGGCTATCGACTCGTTCACAACTTCGCTTCAACATCGACAAATCCAAATCTGCCAAGAACACAAAAACTAATCACTCCCGCTCGAAAACTCTATCTAGCGCTGACGGAATCTACCTGAGAACCCACACCACAGGGCTCATGCCTGGTGGCCAGATACGCTTATCGTCAAGTAGACAATGGTCCAAAGTTTGTTTGATTGAGCCAAATTGGACCCGGCCCCCACGCCCCTTTTGCTAACCGGCCACATCCCGGAATGGCCGAGTTTTGGTGCGGAAGAGCCTCATTTACCTAGGAGAGTAGATGCGACATGGCAATCTGATGTGACTTCCCAAGATTACGCCTAGATGAAGGTGGTTGTGGGTAGATGACTTGCCGCATCTGCGGTTCTTCATTTGGAGATCTTGCCTATTTTCAGGAAAAAGGGTTGACAGCATGAATACCGCAACAAACCGAGTAGTTCGCACATCTCATCGATGCCGAGTAATCGTCAGAAAGCACAGAGGCCACAGGTAATATACCGCAAGGAAGCAACACTAGAGCTAAGCCAGTCACGCATCACAAGTTTGGACTGTTACATGCACAATCACTTCATGAAATGTACCGACGACACCACCTCCCAACCCTGACATCCCCCGTCCGTCCCATCTTCCCCCGGCCGCGAAGGCAACCAGAGTCCGGGAACCGAGACAGATGACAGGATGACGCGGAGGCTGGGAGAGCAAATGGTCAATTCGCAAGACCGAACCACCCAGATGCCCCCACCCGAAAAAATTCCCTGTCCATTGAAATAGGAACCGTCGGCTCGCCCCGTCATGGTTGATCTACCCCGACAACACTTCATCTTGCGATCTTGTGCCTTGCGGTGGTAAACCCAGAGGACGGGGTTCTTGATGTACCGCTCATAATACAGAGCAGTCAAGGATGAATCTCTCCTTGCGCTCCACCTTGAAGTGCGGATGCCTTGGTCTGAAGAGACCTCGGCGAGTGTTTGCAATTGTGTTTGAAAAAAAGGGGAAGAGGAACAAAAGAAGAAGGCATCAGTGGCATTAGTCTTTGGCGCGTACCAACGAGGTTGGGCATACGTGTGGGCGGCCCATGGGTATCGTACATTTTGTTTCTCTAGTTCAATCTTTTCGTCAGCCAACATCGGTAGGTCAGATCTCAGGTGAATGAGACCCTCTTGCGTCCACCACCGCTTTCCATTGTCGTCAAAGCTTGATCAATCTCCATGATATCCAGCATCTCCTCCTCAAAGTCGCGGCCTGCGTCGTCGCCTTGCACGTCCGCCGCGGCTTCCAGGCCACTGGCGAAGCCGCCGAAGCCCATGCTGGACTTCGGTCTGCCGACTGGCAGCGTAAAGTCATGGGTGGCATCGTCGTCGGGGGCAATGCTGTCACGTCCGTAGGACTGATCGCGCAGGCTTCTTGTCTTGTTGACACTGAGGTTGAATGAGACGTTGCGAGGCTGGTCCGGTCGGGGGTGGACGATAATGGCGCTGGGTTGCTCCTTCTTGT